ATTAAAAAATCTAAATGGAAAAAAAATGACACAACTACCATCACCTTCGACACAACAAATACTGGAGGACTTGTTAAATGTTACACAAGATATTTTAAATCCTCCTCCAATTAATGGTACACCATTATCGGAAGAAATTATTCTTCATCTTCTCAAAAACAAAACAAACTATTACTAATTATAAAAGAACAATTACTAATAACAAGTTGCAGTAATTCTGAACTTGAATTAATATATAATATTTTAAACTTAATTAATATTCCACCTCCTTTAATATTTGATCCTATTTACACTACAAAAAGAAGGTTTAATAGATTCACATTGATTTTCAACAAATAGAATACAAAGAATCAATACTTCCGTTCTTCAATAAGATAAAGGATTGTTCTTATCTTTGACAGGAGTAACAATATCACAATTTAAATTAATCAAAGCATAAATCATTTAATAACAGAAAGAAAGAAGACTTTTAAGTAATGAAGATTGATTATTAGCTGCTTTAATGTATTTAAAGGGTGGTGTTGCTAATACTTGGATTAGTTTAATGTTTGGTATTAGTTTATCAACATTAAGTATTGATTTGCCTCATATTTTAACTAATATTGCTACTAACATAACAAGTCAAACTATCAAATTACATGATGATAATTTATTAACTCATCCTTTGTTAAATACTAATCTAACACATGTTTTTAAAACCACAAAATAATAAAATAATAAATTAAGACAAATGGATTAAAAGCTCAAGGATTGAGACACCATATGGTGAATCAACCTTGGAACCTGCTTTAAAGGATATAAATCTTTATTTACACACTTCAAACATTCAAGAACAAATTATCTTCAACATTTAAATTACCGAAAAGATAAAAGACATGACCTAATCACACAAATTACCACTTACAGAACAGGAATAATAGCACATATTAGTATTGGTTTTAGAGGTTCAATGAATGATAACACTGTTTTAAAATTATCTGGACTTCATAAAGCAGTACAAAAGAATCCAAAATTCAAAGTTAATGTTGACAGTGGATTTTCGGTCAACTCAATTCCTGGAAAACTGATTGAACCTATGAGTGATGGATCTTACCTAAATTATGAACAGAAATATGAAAGAGTTATAATTGAAATCACAAATGCATTTCTAAAGCGATTTCAAATATTAGCAAAACTTTTTAGGCATTCCATTAGTTGTCAACCAGTAATTGTGTTGGTTTGTGCAATTTTAACGAATATTTATTTAAACGAATACCCAATACGCAGTGAAGACTAAATTAATTCTCGCAGATCTCATGGATATCGATGAATAAAAATATGTATTGTATGTGTAATTTTAATGGCCAAAACACAAACACACAACACAAACAAAAATGAATCCAATTACCACTAAAAAAATTTGTGTATTGCTTGTGTTGAAAAACACTTAATTTTTGAATGACCTCAATATTTGAGTGGAGAAATGAAAAATGATAGAGAAATAGTTTTACTGGCTGTAAGATGCGATAAACCACTAGTGTCTGGTCAATCATGCCTTAGATATGCATCAGATCTATTGAAATGTGACAGGGAGGTTATATTAGAGGCAGTTAAACATAATCCCTATTCTGTTCATTATGCTAACTATATGGATGATGAAATTCTCAAAATTGCACTCTTGAAAAAACCTTCCATGTTGGAAAAGCTTCCAGAACAATTCCATTCCACCAGAAATACGATATTGAGCGAGAGAGATTTCATATTTGAACTTTGTGAGCAGAAAATGGATGAACAATGTTTTATTGTTGATTATTTGTCGAGCGATTTACGAAATGATAGAGAGTTAGCACTCCACATTATGAAAACGAATCCACATAATTACAAATGTCTTTCACTTAACTTGAGATTGGATAAGGAAATTGTTTTGTATGCTGCTAAAGGTGGACGTATTAACTTTTTTATTCCAGAATTTTCATGTTGGGAAGATAGATACATGTATTTGGAACTGATCAAATATAATAATGCAACTTTTTGGAACAATCCTCACCAGTATGACGAAAGTTTCATCAGAGAGGCGATCTCTACCAATGGTTTGGTGGTTTGCAATATTGAAGACAACTTGATTTCAGAAGAGCTAGCAATGATGGCAGTACAACAGAATGGTCTAGCTTTGAAATATCTTCCTTTTATCTTGAAAATGAACAAGCAAGTCCAGTTAGAAGCTGTAAGATCAAATGGTTTCTACCTTGAATTTTCAGAAGAATTTTATCAAGAAAGGTTGAGCAGTGAGTACTATGGAGCAAAGGTGTAAAGAGTATTCTGAATCATTCCCAAGGCTAATTGAGAAAACAATTGATTATCGGTTCTTTTCCATCTCCTCCAATCTTGCCTCTAACAAGTCACATCGTTGTTTGAATTTATCTGCCTTCCTTTGTAACATTTTTCGTTCCTGTGTAAAGGTATCGTTAAGAGCTTTCAGTTGCATGACATGACCCATCTGTAAATCTTTCATCTTTTCATTGATAGTCTTTGATTTTTCTTCATAATCTCGCTTGATAATATCAATTTCATGTTTCACATCCACATTTTGTTCTTGAGCAACATTTTCCAAAAGTTTTTGCTTTTCCCTATTCAGATTTTTCACTTGATCCTTTAAATTATCATTCTGCTTATTACTAATTCCCAACTCTATCGATTGAATTTGATAATTTTTAACTAAATCCTCATATTGAAACTCCTTCTGCATGGCAATCTTTTCAGCTGCTTCTAATTTGCTTTGAAGCTTTTTGGTGTCTTGTTTGGATGCCTCTAAATGTAATCTATTCTGATGGTCTTGCATTTCTCGCATGGTTTCAACAGTTTCTTTGTGTCTGAGTTCTTCCTTTTTCAATGTTTCCTTTACCAAATCACACTCATCAATGAGATCTCTGTATTTCCTCTCCAGATCATTTCTTGACCTTTCCAATTCTTGATATTTGCTTTTCCAAACTTCTGCTTCATCTTTTTCTTTTTGGAGAGCTGATTTACTCCTCAGTGAATCCAATTCATCCTGAATGGCTTCAATCTCCTTTCCTTTAAAGTAGAGTCTCGATTCAAGGTTTTCAATTTTTGTTGCTTTTTCTTTCATTTGAGATTCAATTTTTTGCAAGTCAGCTTTTCGGTGACTTTCTATGGTTGCAGCTTGATTTTCCAAAATTTGCATCTTTTCCTGTTTTAATTTTTCAATATCCTTCTTAAGTTGGCCAATAATGATATCATATTCCTTTTGTCTATCGAAATGAGCCGAAGAAACAGTTTCACTCAAGTCCTTAATAGTCTTGTTTGCTTGTTCCTTATCTAGTTGTAAATATCGTACTAATTTTTTCAATTCTTGAATTTCTGCCTCGTATGGAGTTTTATCAACCCTATCAGTATTTACCTCAGCATCTTGAGTTTCCTTATGAGAAGCAACCTTTTTCGATGTTGAATCCTTGGTTTGAGTTTCCTTATTGGAAGTTTGAACTTTTTCCTTCTTTGGTGAAGAAGAAAGAGAAGAAGGTTTGTTATTTTCCACAACATCCATTATTCTATCCGATACTTCAGCAAATCTTTGCAGTCTAATGGAAACCTTCTTCTCGTAACTGTTGGTTTTAAAGCGTTTAGAAACTGGAATTAGCTTGTCCGTTTTCTGCATTAGAATTTGTTGCATTTCAGCAAGTTTATCCACAAAAAGCTCCAGTAATGAATACCTAGTTCTGTACTGATCATTTTGATATATACAATTTGAAAAATTACCAATATCATCACTCCTCTGTGAGTTGTGTTTCTCTTCATATTTTAATTCATTAATTCTCTTTTGAATATATCCCAAATCCTTCTTCATTATATTCACAAAGAGAGTTGTTTCATCATCAAAAGCCACAGGTTGATAATTGGATTGTGCATTACTGACAGAGCTCAATACAGAACTTGTATCTGTTAAATTATTACTACTACTAGCCATTGATATGGGTGATTTAGGAGGTCGCATTGATGAGGCAGTACTGGTCATTACAAGAGTGGGAGCATTCGATTCAAAAAGGGATCGTTGGGACCCTCTATGAAAGGCATCAGCAGGCACCGAAGGAGCTCTCTGACCAATATTATATGTTCTATTTGTATTTCTAGCAGAGGATGAGTTTGATGAGGTGGATGATGACACTGACTCACCAATTCCAAGAGGAAGATAGGTTGGAGATTCAGGACGTTGGTTCTCAAAGGAGGCTGGTGAGGCACTTCTCATCTGTTTATTAATTGGGGAAGTGAGGGAAGGTAATGTGGTCGAATTCAACATGGTCGGAGAGGTTGCACCACTTCCTCGATGCTGAAAGGAATGAAAAGAAGCATTATTGGAGTTTGAAGATGGATTTTCAATGCTCATATATTGAAAGGAGAGATTAATTCTACTTGATGATGATGATGAGGGAGCATTCGAGAGATGATGAGGGTGATGATTACCAATCAAGAAAGATGAATTATTTGATATTGTCGTCGAAGTTGTAGATTTTGATTTTGAGGAAGAGTAGGGTTTGCTCATTTTCTTTTGTTGGTGTTGTTCTGTTCTGGTGGACGGAAATGGAAACTTTGGAATGGGCCTATTGAAAAAGTGTTGCTGTACAGTTTATGAAAGAATGTAATTTAGAGGGATTTGGGGTTGTTTTCTCTCCTAATAGAGATACCAAATTGTTGATGAAGTTGACGGTTATTGTGAAGCGATTTGATGGTAAACTAGTGTTGTTGGGTGTGTTGGTTGTTGTTCTTAATGTTTGTTATTAACTTTAGGTGTACGGTTTGACCAAATCAATACTTACAGGTTCTGTTATGTGGAAGTTCAATAAGGATTATTAAGGAAGAGGTCCTTGATTCATACTGTCTCCAAAAAAGGATTATTTGAAGTGTTTCATGTTATTATAACATAATGCTGACTGTTTATCGAATATGTACAATTTATTCTATTGATTTGCTCCTCTTCTTTATTCAACTTTTGTGAAGGCATCTCCATTACTGAGAGGAATCGTGTTAAGGTTCGATGTCACAGAGGTTAAAACAGCATCACCATTAGGATCATGGAAAGTAAAAGTGATGGAATAATTTCCTGAGGAATCCTTAATATATTTACCTTCAGCCTTTCTTCCATCCTTCTCATTGAACAACTCAAATGCTGATGCAGTGGAAGCTGTGACAACCCAAATCTTTCCAGACTTTTCCTTATACTTTCCAGTCACCTCAGGTTTACCTTCCTCAATTGTGTTATCTTCATCGTATGGATTAGAGTTGTCTTCATATGGATTGGAGATACTCTCTTCGTGTTCTTCCAGTGTTGCAAATGATGTTTCGTACTGGCCTTCATTTAATTCTTCTTCCTTAGCTTCTGATTCTTGTGCATGGTTCTCTAGGGTTCTATCTTCTTCAAGATCTTCATTAGGGGTTTGATGTTCGTCATCCTTACTTATAAATCCTTCAACATATTGAGGTACTCCACTGTAAGCTCCTAAGAGCATTTGCTCTTCGGCTTCCAAAAAGACAGAGGAAGCTATCTTTCTAGCCTCCTCAATGGTCTTTCTCCTCCTCAGTAAATCGAGGAATTTTTCGTAAATTTCCTGATCTTCTGGTTCTTCCAATATTTGAACAGGGTCAATCTTATTGTCCTTTCTGTTAAATTATATTTAAATAATTATTTGTTGATAACAATGTAAATTGAAATTATAATAGTATTATCATGTAATATCAGCAAATGATGTTTAAGGAAATTATATTGAGCAAACCATCAAAGCATTATGAAACTTACGACAGATCTAATTTACTCTTAGAGCCTCCTCTTTCAGTGTGTGCTCCTCGATGTTGTTGAGTGCTTGATAAAGTGGCCATTCTATTGTCTTTGGTATTAATTGGTGAGAGTGTTTTTGGTTTCTTCAGAGGACTCACTCTACGATTTAAATTGAAATTAGCTGGTACATTCCTATAAGACCAAGGTAATTCATTATCCACACGTTTCTTCATGGACATCATATTTACAGTGTGGTTCTTCTTGATTTGATCGATCATAATACTACCTCCAATGTTTGCTGTACAAGCATCAATTGTTCCCAATTTATTCATATAGCTCCGACATACTTTATATTGTATTATTAGGATAACAATCAATAATTTCATAGAGATGACGTAAAACAATATATTTTCAAATTTGTATTATTTGAAATAACAAAATCAATTTATAAATTAATGGGATGAATATGCTTCATTTTCCTTACCTTTAACCTCATTGTTCTTATTCTTGTTATTGTTGTTGTTGTTGTTGCTGTTGTTATTTCTTGTACTCTGTGAGGTAGTGGTTCCATTCATTTGTTTCTATTTGTATTTTATTTTCTCTATCTCCTGTTTTATCGTTGTTGCCCTTAAAACTACCAACTACAAAATCGTAAACTTTTTCCGTTATGTTTGGAATGTCTTTCTCCACTGAATCGATTATTACCATTAAATCAACTGTTCGCGTCTCTCTTTTAACAAAATCTCAATGCCTTGGATTGACGTAGAAAGCATTACCATTGTTGAAATGTTATTTCAGAATAAGAGAGTTAATTAAGAATACAATTCGAGTGTACTCACGGAACAAAAAAATTGGAGTCATAGGGAATCGAACCCTAGACCTTCTGCATGCAAAGCAGACGCTCTACCAACTGAGCTATAACCCCTTCTTGCCTTAATATTAAAATCGATCAATATATGCATTAACCATCTTAGAGTTTACGAATTTATTTCTTCATGTTGTGATGGTGGAATTTGTTGTTTTTCTGCCCATTCTTCTTCAACCTTTCCCAATGCAATTGTTGCCAATATTTGAGCATCTGCAAAACATTTTCTCTTTGACAACATTTCCATAAAGTTTTTGTAAATGATCTGATCATGTTCGTCCAACTCCTGTTCAATATCAATCATATTTTCCTTACTATTGATCAATAAATAACAGTATGAGATAAGATTCAATTGGAAAACCTACTTTAAATCCAGCTTTTCAAAATTGCTAGACGATTTTTGCTTTGCTAGTGGACTTGTAGTATTTAAGGAGGCTCTCATCATATTTACTTGCTGAATGGTATTGGTTTTGGGTGACTGATGCTGTCTATATGACCAAGGCGGAGAAGTATCGACGGTTTTTGTCACAGCCATCAGATTGAGAGTGTGATGTTTCTGAATTTGCCTAACCATGATATTTCCTCCAATATTTGCTGTACAAGTATCAATGGCTCCCAACTTGTTCATGTATCCTTTACAGACTGTTCATAATAGTAATTTAGAAGTGTGATGAACAAAGATAATAACGATTGAATACCGAAAAGAAGATCATTGAATAAGATTTGGTAATAAAAACAGTAACTCACATTTTACTTCAGTGTCTTTGGATATCTTCTTTGGTGTTGCGTATTGAGAGGAGGATTTTATTGTCTGGGTGTTACTGATGAGAGATCCATTCATTGTATCCTGTGAAGTGTTGAGTCAGTTGTGTTGTGGATTTTTTAAGATTGTGAAATCAGCCCACAATCCAATTACGCTTCCCATATGTTCTTCTTGCATGCCTCAATAAAAAATAACTAATGGGACCAAAATTGGAGTCATAGGGAATCGAACCCTAGACCTTCTGCATGCAAAGCAGACGCTCTACCAACTGAGCTATAACCCCTTCTTTCCTTAATTAGGATTTATAAATGAGTTCATTTATAGCCTTAGTCTTCTTGCAAGTATTGCAAGTAGAATACTAAAAGAAAGAAAAATGCTCCAAAACAATACATGTTACCATTAGATCATATTGAGTGCCCATCAACCAAAAAATTTCTGGAACGGCTTCATTGAAAACAGTTGTTCTTCCTCTCATTAAAGGAAATTCCAAAGCTGATAAGGAGGATCATCTTGAAAAAGTATTTGATGAGAATGAAGAAATATTAACAATTTATAATTTATTTTTGGCAAAGTTTTTAGTTTTAAGAACTTTTATTCTTTCATTGTGGAAACTTGTAATATTCGCCAATGAGTAGAACACTCCTCAGTTATGAATTGATCTATTTTATTAGAATTTTATTTATTAGTTTTTGGAATACAGTATATTTACAATTTTCATTCGAAACTTCCCTCTTCAACATTCAGCACTCTGATAATATCCACTGTTGGCATTCTCATCCATACCATTATTTTTACGCAAATTATTAGAAACTGGATTTCTAATACATTTCCAAACCACCCCACAACAACATGAACAGCAACAACATGTCAACATTGCCAAGATCCCTGACCAGATGATTATAGCAGTAACTGGATCACCAAATGTTTTATCTTTAGGATTGTTTTGAATTTGATCGCATGCAGTGTAGATTGCTTGAATGGAAATGCATGTAAGGATGATCCAGAGGATTAGAACGCAACAGGATGAAACTTCTGTTTTTCTGTGTTGGATAGTGTAGGAAACGACCCAAATTTCTGTGATTCTGGTGATTGCCATTTAGAATTGTTTGTTTTAAAGTTGTTTCTTGTTGGGAATTTCTGAAACGTGCTTTTTGAATTGTTTTTAGTAATCACGTTTCTAATAATATAATTACTCATTGTTGAAAGTAATCGAAATCAGAGTTTACAATGTTTGTATACAAAAAAATGAGCGATAGATTGACTTTGAATTCATAACAATCTAAAAGTGGTTAATAAACTATTCAATGTTTATATTTCAATATCAAGTCTTTTCACTTCTTTTTAAAAGTTCAAGGTTGTCATCTCCAACAATTCCAAAAACTCCAAGATCAACTCTCAGTATTCATAGTGGTTGGATTTGACACTCAAACCATCGAAATAATAGAGTATTGGGTATGAAATCGATAAGTAATATAATAATACATATTTGGCCAATAAAAACAACGAATGGGGTAAAATTGGAGTCATAGGGAATCGAACCCTAGACCTTCTGCATGCAAAGCAGACGCTCTACCAACTGAGCTATAACCCCTTCTTGCCTTAATTAACGAAATTTAATTAAATATCAAGAGCCTTATTAGTTTCCAATCAATTCCTAAAGCAAAATTTGATGAGAGTGGGATTTGAACCCACGCCCTTGCGGAACACGGTATTAATCATACCTTAACGTGTCGTCTTAGACCACTCGACCATCTCACCAGTGTTTTCCTTAATAACCTTAGAATCTTGCTGCAATGAACCAATTATTTTCTATTAATTTATTAATTCAAAAAGATAGTACTCTCGGATATTCTAGCCAATTCAGTTTGACCTGAACCACTAGAGTACAAGCTTTCTTGTGGTTCCATATAAACATAAATACCCAAATATCCATTAGAATGTCCAACAATTCTCAAAGTACCAATCATCTTCAATCCCTTCTTTTCAACATTCAAAACAAATTCCAAAATGTGGGTAATGAACTTATTCTTGCAATGAGGATCTGGGTTGACATTCTCATCACGTGATTTGATATCAACCTTGGAATATTCCTTTCTCATTTCACGGAAACGATCTTCACTCATATTCTTGGCAATGGCAGCAAAATCTAAATCACCTGATTCTAATTTGGTGAGAGTTGACAAGAGAACGTAACCCTTCTTCATGTTGGCAAAGATTGCAACACTAGCAACACCAACAGAGCTAGAACTGAGTAGAGAAAAGTCTTTTGGAGCACAAAGTTCAGCAACTGGTGGAGTGAACAAGTTGTGATATTGATAACCAGATTCAACTCTACATTGATTAAAGTTAACAACCTTATAGGTAATGTTCAAGCTACCAGATTTACAATCTGTTAATTTGAGAGTCTCAGAATATTCCTTATTGTGTTCAAGCTTGTCAAAATTGATAACAATTTCTGCCTTTCCAATAGCATCCTATTATTATTCGAAACCGTTATTAATCAACATTCATTTTTGATCAATCAATACTTACATCTCTTGAGAGCATATCCCAATCAAAAACCTTGAAAAGTACTTTAATTCCTTCACCTTTATCAAGACAGTAAACACTGTGGAAAGTTTTGGTTTCATTCCAGGTTGGATTTAAATCCTTCTTCTTGATGGAGGTTTTTTGCTTCCATCCCTTGGCTGCTTCTTTCAAATAGGAAGGAAGCTTTTCATCTACAAGAGCTTTAGTTTGAACAATGACACTAAATCGATCGTTACAATATTTTAAATATTTAACACAACATACTATGGATCACTGAAGCCATTAAAGTCAGCGGCTTCAAGATCAACACCGTTTTTAATGGTAACTTCTAAAGTATCGAATATTTTGAATGGCATGTTGTTGTTCTGATTTTGAGATATTTTTTTGATGTTGTTTTGTTCCTGTCAAACATGACAGGTATTTAAATAGTTCACATCAAATGCATGACACCTCTTTTGTGAACAATAGAAAACAAACATCGCCCAATGATGTTCTTTATTGTTCAGGTTCAAGAATTGTTCGTAAGGTTGGTCCAGATAATTGGGAGCATCAACAAGTTGGATTTAAATTCGAACAGTGGACCATATTTCAAGACGAAACCTATTGATAACAACTTTCATTAATATTTCCCATAACTTTAACTTTTTCAATTAAATTTTTAATGTAACGAAACAGATTTTATTATTCGAATTAATATGTATTTATTGAGGATTGTGGATATTGAGAACAGTGAATCACACATTTCATGAACCAATGAACATTTTGGTACTCTCGCTATTATAATTTCCAAATTTGCAAGAGGAAAAGATTATAAAAAAAAATAGTCATGACTACTGACAGTGCTATTTCATCAACAATAATACCATGTCCAGCGACGCCACCACAACTCACAACAGCTGTTACCTATCAGGAGGTAAAGCATCAAGAAAAAGAAGCAAATCACAATCAACCACAACAAGAAATTATCCCAATACAAATTGACCAAACTACAACCACCGCCCCAAATACTTCCTCGTGTTGCAATTCCAAAACTCGTTTCTCACTAATTATCATAATCACAACGTGTACTTCATGTTTCATAGGAATTTCTTTATTAATTTCAACTGTCATTGTTGCAGTTATGCATTCTCTTGATTATGCTCAAGCGCATGGTGAAATTTATGCTTTAATGATTTCCATATCTGCCTTCTTTCTTGCTGTTGGATTGGTTACTACTTTGGTTGGGATTAAAATGTGGAGAGGAAAGTTTGCAGTGAATTCAGAAGGGACAGTTGTAAACTCGACAGGTGAACCAATTAATTATTTGGGAGAAGTTACTGATATTAATGTAAAATTAAACAATTCAATGATCATTTGAAATCAATTCTTGTAATCAAATACAAACTTCTTGTTAGTTCATCAATAAAGTACAATCCTTATTAGTAGCACTTTACACTACTATATGTGGATTGTACTAGGATTCGTGAAGAATCACACTAAAAAAAAAGCATGACGATAACGACTGACACCAATCAAAGTACAACTGAAAGACCTTCAATAGATCCCACAAACACTTCTGCATCACTCGATACAACCTCCCAACAACACATTCCAACTGAAACATGCACTGCCGAAACTACTCAAATCCATTCTAAACCCTCCAATTCATTCTTCACCCCGAAAACTAAATTCATCCTCACCATCGTCTCAGTTACCGCCATCTCCTTCCTCCTAGCATTCATTCTCATCAGTATGACCATCACTTTTGCAATTTGTGATTCACTCTTTGATTTTCCAGATCTTGAAAATGGAATTTACGCCTTGCTCGTTGCAATTTCAATTCTCTTTTTGGGAATTGGTATTGTTACCTTGATTGTTGGATGGAGATTATGGAGGGGAAAGTATTCTGTGAATGATGAGGGATTTGTGGTGAATTCGAGGGGAGATCGGATTAATGTGTTGGGAGATGTGAAAAATTCGGATGACAATTTGGTAACGGAAAGGAGTTCAAGTGATGAGGATAATCTCCGATATAGTAGATCACTGAAAACATTTGATATTATTTAATTTATCTCTATATTTATTAATATTATTATAATATTAAATTTAAATAACTTGAATTTACTATTTAATTTTTCAAATAATTATTAAAAAAATGCAACAAGAAGGAAACAATAACATGACATTTCCATCACCAATGAAAATCTTTTCCGATTGGTATTTGGAAGCTTGTTCAAATTATGAAAAATCTGTAGAGAAAATTATTCCTCTCCAAAAGGAAATTCCAGAACTTTTACTTCCTGCCGAGCCAGCCACCATGACAGTTGCTACAGTAAATCCAAAAACATTGCAACCATCCACTAGAAATGTTTTTCTTAAGAGTTTTAATGTGGAAACATCGGAATTTATATTTTGTACGAATTTTAATTCGAGAAAGGGAAGTGAAATTGCAGAAAATTCTAAAATTGCTTTAAATTTCTATTGGAGTTATGGATCAGTGATGAGTTCTAAACAAGTGAGAATTGAGGGAGTGGCTGAATTTTGTTCTGATGAGGAATCTGATCAAATATTCAATTCAAGACCATTGGAATCGAGAATTGCCTCCAGTGTGAGTCAACAATCTCAAGAATTAGTTGGTGGAAGAGAACAATTATTGAATGAATTTTTCAATGCCATTGAAGAACAAAAACTGTCAGCTCAAGAACCTGTCAGACCAAAGCATTGGGGAGGAGTTAGAGTAAGAGCTCATTGTATTGAATTTTGGCAGAGTGGTGATCATCGTCTTGCCAATAGAATTCAATATAAAAAAGAACAAGATAATTCTTGGAAGAGTACAACTCTCTATCCATAAATTATTTGGAATTAATAAATATCATTGTAAATTCAGTAAAATTTCTAGTAAATTTAAGAAAATTTTTAAATAATAAAAAAAATGTCTTCATCCGATCATAGGGAATTTATTACACTCTTCGCACCATCTGTGAATAATCTCGTGTTGAATGGGAAGAAGGTTTCCAACACGGATTTTATTGTCATGTACAACAAGGTTATGGAACTTACTCAAGACAAGCCTATTGTTGGTGCAATGGGGCAAACTGATGATGATGCAATTATGGATGATGAAAGGGATAGTTGTACATTATTGAATCAATTAATTCATGAGGAAATATTAAAAGTTTTACATCAGTTGGAGGATTTGAAAATTGTCAATAGTGTAGATCAGTTGGTCAAGTTGTGGAATGATCGGATCAAGGCTTTGGATTCATTTCTGAGAAGATTGTTCAAGGGAAGAAACTATTTTATGAATAAGTTTCCAATGGCTGTTGTATTGGGTTCTCAATTATTTGAAGATATCTGTCGACAAATGTTTAATTCCAATGATGAGACAACAGTGCTGGATTCATCCTGTCCACACAATATGTGTTACCAGGAAAATGTACCAAACAGTGTAACATTATCGAGTATCAATACTGACTCTCTGAAAGAATTATTTTCCATCATGGAAGAATACTACAAGGAGAAAACAGCAAGAGAAGTTGTCAAATATTCACTCCATCAAACACCAATTCCAAGACACAAATTTACCAGAACTAAAAATTTGCTTCACAACATTGATGGTGATTTGGGAATTAAATTTTCCAATGTTGATGGAAATACATTGAGCAGAGTAGATATTCCACTTCCAAAAGAGTGTTGCCAATTTGGAGATCCAGTTGCATTCTACATTGATAATGTCCTCACTGAGGATGAATGCAGTGCCATAATCGAAAAGACTGAAACGGTAGGATACAGAACATTAGAGCATGAATTTCTTTCCTATGAAAGAGATAACGATAGATCTCTATTGATATTCCCTTATTTTGCTGATCTACTTTGGAATAGAATAAGACCAATATTTGAAAAAGATGAAAAGTTATGGAGCCAGCAACGACCATTCGGTTGGCATAACGAAGGGACATGGAATCCATCCTCAATCAATAACTGTATGAGATGTTGTCGTTATAATGGTCCTTGTGTTGGTTTCGTTCCTCATAGAGATGGTAATTTTGTTCAGAGTGTAGACGAACGTTCAAAGTTCACCATTATTGTAAGTGTTTTTTAATATTTTATTGGTAATAATAATAATTATTATTTAATAACTACCAATTACTGATGATTTATACTCATAGCTTTATCTAAATGACAATTTTGATGATGGCACTACAGACTTTCTCAGAGCTCACCAACCTGCTTCTATGGGAGAATTGGTACGAGAGGAGCTAGAAAGAGGTTTCTCTAATGAATTTTCTTTGAAACCTAAAAGAGGCAGAGTATTAATATTCGATCATGCTCTATTGCATCAAGGAAGACCAATCCCAAGTGGACACAAGTATATTATAAGAACAGACATTGTGCTCAAACGAGTGGACAATCCTCAACCTGACATGAGTTATCTCCAAGATCCAGAATATCACAAAATGCTCTATCTCTACAAGGCAGCAGCCAATTATGAATGTCATGGCTTTGTGGAAACTTCGAGCGAATTATACGAAAGAGCACTCTCCCTTCGAATGCATTACCCTCGAAGAAAAAAGCAAGAATAATTCAAACTCCAACTGTGGAATTTGCTCATGTATGAGCTTTTGAACCTGTTTTTGTACATGCTGATTTCCTTTTATTGGTATGATCCTAAAATGCTAATTTGATTTGAGTTGTAATTATGGTCTAAAAATCAAATTAATCACGTTCAATCCTACATCACCACCATGTGTCATTCTTATTCTTTGGTCAAACTGTTATGTCTTATCTCACCAAACAAAAAATGTCACAACACTTTGATCCTACAAATTACTGTATTGATTATGATGCCGTCCTCGATAACAAGGAAGCAAGAAGAATATTCCATGAATTCTTAATTGAAAATAGAGATGAAGAACCACTAGTTTTCCTTGACCATTATAATGAATACTGCCACAATTATGAACATGTTTTAAAGGAAGTTTTTGGAGGTTGGTCAGATTATCAAATAATTTCATTGAAGCAATCATCTAATTCCTCCAAGCAACACAATCATTTATTCAGAGTTGAAGTAATTGGAAGAGCAGAAAGTATTATTAATACATTCTTAGAACATTATAGTGAACGAGAGTTGAATATTGGAACGAGTCAAACAATAGTATTAAACTATTGGAAAGATGTAAAGGAAGACCTCATTGATGTGTTTCTGGATTCAACTGTACCAGGTAAAACAAGACTGTCATGTACCTCCTCTGATTACTATAATCTGGTTACTGAACAGATAGAAAGTGAAATTATGAGAAGATTACATCCTGAAGCTTTGTTTTCAAAAGTACTGTCATCTGTACATTTAGATTTAAAGATGGACCAATTCCCAAGGTTCGTCCGTTCAGAAAAGCTACTGAATTTCCTTAAACTCAAAGGCGAAACCTTTACCAGATCAATTGGATACGACATCTCCGCAGCATATTATGCTGATATGAGATTTAAACCAAAAGATTTAAAAGATCAGATCATTACAGACAAGCACATTTATTTTGGTTTCACATTGGCAGAGGATACGCCCGATTGGAAGTTGATTTATGGGAGAAAGGATCTATGTTGTTACTCATCTAACACAACCTACTTTTTTGGAGAATCGAAGGGAATGAAGCTATTGAAAGCCATTATGTATCTCCCTTTTTCACTTGAAGACTTTATTATAATGATTTCCAATACAGATAACCATACCTCATTCGATCCTCAAACTAAAGATGGATTCAAACTCCAAAGCTATAGACCACCAAGTGGATTGAACAATTACAGCGAGGGTAGTAAATCAACATACGCCACACAATGCCTTTCTATTAGTGTTGATCTTTCTCTGCCACTTATCAAAAAACGACAGTTATGTGCTGTTGCAACCACCATTCAAGAATCTGATCTCTTACTACATGTTTTACATACTGCTGATTTTCCAGAAGAGGAAATGCCAATATCACCTCGTGTCAAGAAAGCAGCTTCACTGAGCTACTATTTATTCAATAGAATTGCTGACAATCTTACCAGAGTGGTACATGTAACTTACAGTAGCTTTGATTTACCATTTCAAACCGATCTGTTATACAAAATATTTTGGAAAAAGAGATCCAAAGCACTGTTTAAAGGATTCAACAAGACGCTCAATACTACTACCAAAAACAGAACACTACATGCCACTAATCATGAAAGAATTCAAGTCCAGGACAACCACAAACACATTCAAGCCATGTTGGACAACAAGAAGGCTTTCCCTAATCGTTCGTGGTACAGCGAATGGACAGAATTAAAGCATTAACATTCTAGTTCTTAACTTGGCTACTTATGTAATTGTTCCATATTAATCCCCATCCAAAAATGTATTTATGGCAGAGTGTCAAATTTCCCATCACGTTTGGCCTTACCTAATTGTTTTATGGCACCTACAAAAAAATGTCATCACAAGCCCACTTCGATCCCTCCAATTACTTTATCGACTATGAAGCAGTTCTCGATAACAAGGAAGCAAGAAAGATCTTTCAAGACTTTCTTCAAGATTGTAGAAATGAAGAACCTCTACTTTTCCTCGATACCTATGCTGAGTATTTCAGTGGGTATGAACAGGTGCTGAAGGAGGTTTTTGGTGGCTGGGCAGATGAAGAAAAGGTTTCACTCAAGAATTCATCAAATTCTTCCAAACAAAACAAGAATTTGTTCAGAAATGAGGTTATTTTACGAGTGGAGAAGATTATTCAAACATTTATTGAATATCATAGTGAAAAAGAGTTGAATATTGGAACTAGTCAGAGTTGGCTGTTGAATTATTGGAAACTGGCTAAAGAGGATTTGCTTGATACGTTTATTACTTTGACAGGTGGTAGTCAGAGTAGTTCTAGACTTTCATTTTGTGTTGCTTCTGATAGTCAACTTTCGTTGGAGCAATTAGAAAGTGCAATAATGAAAAAATTACATCCTGATGCTTTATTCTCAAAAGTTATGTCATCTGTTCACTAGATTTAAAGATGGACCAATTTCCAAGATTTGTTCGTTCAGAAAAATTACGAAACTTTCTGAAACTCAAAGGTGAAACCTTCACCAGATCAATTGGATACGATATTTCCAAAGGATACAATGTCGATTTGAGATTTAAACCAAAAGACTTGAAAGAACAACTAATTACCGACAATCACATTTACTTTGGTTTCACACTTGCCCAAGACACGCCAGATTGGAAATTAATATACGAAAGGGAAGATTTATATTGTTACTCTTCGAACAGTACTTACTTTTTTGGAGAATCGAAGGGAATGAAGTTGTTGAAAGCTGTAATGTATCTGCCATTTTCATTGGAAGATGTGTCAACAATGTTATTTGATGCTGACAATCATAATTCGTTTGATCCTCAGACGAAAGGTTTCGAATTGCATGATTATAGACCTCCTAGTGGATTGAATGGCTTGGGTTCAGAAGGAATTAATTCTTCCTATGCTACTCAATGTCTTTCAATCGGTATTGACCTATCTCTACCACTTGTCAAAAAACGACAACTGTCATCTGTAGCAACCACCATCCAAGAAACTGATCTCTTATTTCATCTATTACACACTGCTGATTTCTCAGAAGAAGAAATGCCATCTCAAGGACACGTCAAGGCAGATTCACTGAGCTACTATCTATTCTACAGACTTTCTGATAGATTTACAAGATTAGTTCACGTGACCTATACTAATTTTGATTTACCATTCCAAACTAATTTATTATCTGAAATATTTTGGAAAAAGAGAGCAAAATTACTATTTAAAGGATTCACCAAAACTTTGAATGTTTTAACTAAGAATGGAACTGTGCCAGCTTCAGATCATGAAATTTCTGATTGTCATAAACATAGACAAGCTATTGAGGATAATAAGAAAGTGTTTCCTGATCGTTCTTGGTATAAGGAATGGTTAGAATTGAACAACAAGACTAGACAATTTTATTAGAAAGGTCAATAATTGAATAATCATTATATTTCAAATAATTTATTTGAAATGATTTATCATGCAAGATAGTAATAGAAGAGATAATGTCAGTTGTCGAAATTGAAACACAATCCAACTAGCTCTCAATAACCGTAAATAATTTCAAAGAAACAAGTATGAGTCGGATTTTAGAACATTGAAAACTTGCTAAAATGAATATTCGAAACTCTCCACATACGAACAGGCAAAAATCATCAACCAACGTAAATACGAAACTCTCCATTCGAAAAGAGTCTCAACATCAAGTATTACAAAGAGAGAAACGTTCGATAATAAACCAAGGCATCTTTTTTAAAAAAACAGCCATCGCTCCTCTTGAATTTGTCAGCCACCAAACATCGAAGAGTCCAAAATGACAGATGACTGCAGAAAAACATATGAGAGATTTCAAGAGGAAGAAACAACAACAATTAAACAATTTCCATCAACCTCTAGTAGTAACATGGTACAACCATCATCATTCTTTCCGATAGAAAATACGAAACTATTGGAAACTCCAGACGAAACTGATGATTCCTTTCATCTAGTCATTCCATCAAACAAATTAAAAGTTAGATTCTCTCAAGAAGAACAAGCAAATTCATCAGCAACAACAACAACTTTGGATAATAATTTTTCGTTATCCACTTCAACAGTTTTAGATTCGAATAGTACAAGCAGTTGTGGAGAAAGTACAAGTGTCAAGAGTTTTCATGAAGACGATGACGATGACACGATGATTAAAATCAATACGAATAATAGATTGAAACAAAATTTCCTTGATGCTGATGATGAGGAAGAAATTATAGACGAAACTCTGGACGAATTTATGGATGATGAAGATAATTTAGGATTATCCATCAAAACCAAGTCATTACCATTATCAAGTACTAGTGTAATGCCTCCAAAAGCTGTGGATAATAATAATTATTCGAAACCTTTCCTGCTAGATTCACCACAACATCAATCTCCTTGCTTTAATTCGAAACTCAAAGGACATTCTAATAACAATAGTAGCAACTATAATGCTTCATCATCAGCAATAACAACAAATTTAACTTTCGAACAACAACAAACAACACCAAAACGAAACTTTAACAAACATTTGAGAAATATGAGTGATATTTCCGTTTATTCCAACATGTACGATGATGAATTGGATCCCTCTCTCATTCCTAAATATTTCAATGATCAAGATGATGAACTAGAGGATGATTTCGAATATAATGAAAGATTATACAGTTGTAATAATGGAGGAAATGGTGGAAATAATCATCATTCACTATCTTTATATGATGAAGATGAGGATGATGAGTTAGAGAATGGTGATGATTTGAAATTATCATCATTTCTTCCTAATGGTGGTTTGAAATCATCTTTTAATGATGAATTTTTAGATCAAGATTTGTCCGATGATGAATTTTCGTCCATTTTCGTCAAAGTGAATACGAATATCAAGAAACAAGTGAATAAGATTGGAGGTGAGGAAACTAGACCTGAAGAAATTCCAACAGTTTCAAATGATGAAGATTTGACAATAATTTTTGGGAAAAAGATGAAAATGCCAAGAAGAAGCAGTCAAAGTGGAAAATCAAATGTTGGAATTGTAAAATTCTATGGATCTAGAGAAGGTAGAAATAGATCCATTTCTGATGTTTCAACTACTCTAGCTCAAATACCGATTAGTCAATTGACTCGTTCTGCAATTACTCCTTCAAATGATGATGAATGGAATACTGATCAATTGTTGATTTGGAATTCGAGAAATTCCTCAGAGAAACACTTGAGAATGAGAGCTGAGAGTATTAAATTAATGGAAAATCTTGGAATTGACAATAGTAGTAGCATAACCTTTGATACTCCAAAGAAAGTATCAGAAATTACACTCGAGAGACAAAGAATTGCCTTCCTCACCATGTATTCATCGAGTCATAGAGCTAAATTCCAAGAGGAATCATCTCTTGTCATTCAATCTCTATTCAGAGGTTATGTGGAAAGAAAAAAGTCAACCAAGGGCCTCGTATTTATGAGCTACATTTGCACAGCTGCCTTTGGTAAGGTCAATAGAATGAGAAGAGAACGCACCATGAACAGTATTGAAACCGTACAGGCCATACTTCTTGGATCTCAAACGAGAAGACAATTCCACTCTGAAAAAGTCTCTCAACAACCTCACACTTCTTCCACAATTGGTAATATTGTTAATACTTCTAGTTGCAATAATTCCTCGATCAATTTAGAAGAAAATGAATCCAATGTAAATAATAACATCACGAATCAAGAATCAGATAATGTAAATAACATTTCCCTCACAAATTCCACAACAAGTGTCGGTAGCAGTACTTGTTCCATCACTTCAGATTCAAAGATCACTGCTACACCTCCTCAGCCATCTATACCAATAATTCCACATAATATCAATGAGGAACAACTCACTCAACTGCAAGCACTATGTAGAGGACGGATTTACAAACTCTCTAACCAGGTGAGAAACTTTAAGATTAACAAACGAATTCATCTACTCACAAAGAGTCATCCTCTGATACGGGAGACTTACAAGTGCTTTATGGATATTATTGTAGGAAAGTGGAGCTTGTCAAACAAGCAGAATATGACCTTTTTGGATGAAAAGACAACGAATATCATTGCTGGTTCTCAAAAATTGTATCCAGCTCTGTTAGAAAATTTGTACCAACTCATATCTTGTAATACAAAGAACAAGTACTGGGTCATGAGAAGATCTCTCTATGATTTGATGAGCGAGAGCAGTAATCCTGAATTCGAGGAAATTCTTGAAGCTTTTAATCAATTTTCTCCTTCGCTGAAAAGCAAAAATTTGAATGAAACTGATACAGAGACAGCACAAATGAAATTATTGATTGAATTCCTTTTGGATCAAGGTAATGTGCTGCCGAAAATCCTCATGCAATTGATGCTTCCAGAGCAAATCTATAGAAATTCGACTGACTTCTTCCATAGTCCATTCATTTCCAATAGAAATTCCAAACAAACTCTCACAATGCTTCACCATATCGATTCCTTCTCTGCTACAGCTAAACAGTCATACAATGAGAAATCACCAATGAGTAACGATGCATTTGCGAGTGATTTTGCATTCTTGTGTGAGGAGTTATCCAAAGTCTTTTTTGAGAATAACTTCAAGCCAGTTCTATTTGAGAAGAGATTATTCCAATTCCATTCTACAGTTTGTCAAATCTTGGATTTACTTTCAACAAGTAGGAATGGTCAATTATCTGAAAAGGAGACAATGGAAATTTATAGAATTATTCTGCAGAAATTATTCCCATATTTATATTCTCTAATTTCCTTGGACTTGGCAAAGATTGACTCTCAACCAAACATCAAGCCATTGTGGGATTACATTCAGTCATCCATTCAAGAACCAGCCATCTCACTCACCAACTCTATGAAATTCATCACAGTAGCCCTTCCAAGCGAAACTCATCAATCACCAAGTAAGAGAAGAAAATCACTTTCTCGATCACTTTCAAAATCTCAGAAAACTCTCAAATTAGAAATGTCAAAGGAAAAGTTTAATTTATTTGCGAGTATTGGACTAGCCAATAATTCTCTTGATCAGTACATTTCTCAGATATTGCAATCCTTCTCAAGAGAGAGGGTTTTGAAATCTGATTCTCCCCTCTGTTCTCTTCCAATGCAATCGAGTGTAGTTTCTGCTATTCGTTCTCTACAATTGAGTGGAAATTTCAAGAATTTAATCGTCAAGAATGAATAAATTTAAATAATTTGTAACACAATATATATTACTCCTCAATAATCCTTAGCAAGTTTAAGAATTAGTTTTTCTGGTTAATATTTGGAAATCAGGATTGGTCCTAAGCATTGAGAAATATATTCTAATTGCATTACACTCCATGATTGAGAATGGGAATTAATCATCAACATGTTCATGTATAATTCGGAGTATATTATTATTAATGATTAAGGGTCAGACAGTTTGAAAAATTAAATAAATTAAAAATTCTAAATCTTAATTTGATAAAATAGATATTTATATAATCATCCATTGTAAATTGATGGAATCGGTATCAATGAAACTCCCAAAAAACAACTCTTCCCTACGACCGGTATTTTATCGAATAAATTTCATAAACCCGATTCTCAATCCATTGAGCTAACCATTTTCCCGCCACTAAATTTTTCATCCAATTTAAAACATCCACTGCACTTGCACCAATTACCAAAAACCAAATTGAAAAAAACAAAACAAAATGTCCAGTGCTGAAAATGGTGTTGGCCAAAACTTTCTTTCTCGATTAGTTTCGAATAGAAATTCCAAGAAGGACGGCAGCGCTTCATCGTGGAGAAGTGAAACGATGGTTCTATTGGAAATGACCATGCAGAGAGAAGTTGCTCACAGAAGTGTGGAACGGTTAGGTCAATTAGGATTGGTTGAGTTTAAAGATTTGTCATCTCATTTAAATGGGTTTCAGAGACATTATGCTAATGAAGTGAAGAGATGTGAGGACTTGGAGAGAATTATTAGATTCTTTGAGCAAGAGATGGAAAAGTCAAATGTCAAATTTGTTGAGGAAAGTGACAAGATGAATGGTGATGTAAATGAGTTGCAAGAAGGTTCAGTTAATTTGTTGGATAGATATGAAAGAGAATTTGTCAAATTGGAAGCAGAATTGAGAAATCTGTCAGATGGCATTGAACAATTAGTTTCTCAAAAGAGTAAGGCCGAGGAATTCCTGCAAGTAATTGAATTGGCAGGTAATTTGGATGGTGAGGCAAGTGAAGAATCTCAATCAGGTGCCTCTAGCTCAATGTTGAACAGAGAAAGTCAAATGTCATCTCTTGGTTGTCTGACAGGAGTTATTCCAAGTGAGAAAGTGTCTGCTTTTAACATGCTTATCTATCGTAGCACTCGTGGAAATGCCATTCCAAAACTTTATGAAATTTCTTCTCCAATTTACGATTCCAAATTAGGTAAAACTGTATCCAAACTTGTTTTTACAGTTTTCTTTGGATCTTCAACAGCAAAGGAGAAGATTAAAAAGATATGTGAAGCAATGGGTGCAACCATCTATGATATTCCAAGTGATGAAACTCCAGGAGAATCTTCCAAAAAAGTTAATCAGCAAGTTCGCGAACTTGAAATGACAATTGAGAATTCCAAAAGTCGTTTGTTGGACTTATTGAGTGAAATTGCAAGTAACATGAGTGAATGGAATAACAATGTATTCAGAGAGAAGGCAATCTATCACACTCTCAACATGTTCAATTACGATATTCGAAACTCAGTTGTAGCTCTTGGTTGGGTTGCTGAGAGACATGTCGAAACGGTCAGAAGGGAAATGGAACAAGCCATGTTTGAAATGCACGTTGAAATTCCAACCCTAGTCGATATTATTCACACAGACGAAACTCCACCAACTTTTTTCGAAACTAACAAGTTTACTGAAGTTTTCCAACAAATTGTCAACTCGTATGGTATTCCAAATTATAAGGAGATGAATCCAGCTGTGGCTTCTGTTATTTTCTTTCCTTTTCTCTTCTCTGTCATGTTTGGAGATTTTGGTCATGGACTCTTGCTTTCCATTTTTAGTTTCTGCATGATTATATTCGAAAGAAGACTAAAGCCAATTGCTGAGAATAATGAATTGCTTGCCATGATTTTCCAGGGCAGATACATCCTCATCCTGATGGGACTCTTCTCCATTTACACTGGTTTCTTATACAATGATGGTTTTGGTCTCTCAGTTGACCTCTTCCCAACTGCTTTCAATTTTGATCAAAATGGAATTGGACACAAAGACGAATCTAGAACTTATCCTTTCGGTATCGATCCTGGTTGGTTCCACACCTCAAACAAACTCTTATTTTACAACTCCTTAAAGATGAAAATGGCAATTATCTTTGGCGTTGGACACATGACAGCAGGATTACTCTTCTCCCTTGTTAACATGATTCAATTTGGTCATTTTCTTGATATTTTCCTTGAATTCATTCCAGAATTGTTAATTTTATGGTGTACTTTCGGATACATGTCAATTATGATTGTTTACAAGTGGTGTGTAAATTGGGGAGACGAAACTCATGTAAATATTGAAATTCCACAACTTTTACCAACAATGACTGATTTCTTTTTGAGTCCTTGGAAGATGTCTCAACCTCCATTGTTTTATTTTGGTGGAAGTGTGGAGGAAGCTCAGAAAAAGCAAACTTATGCTCAATTGACTTTATTGTTGATTGCTGTCATTTCAGTTCCAATCTTGTTGATTCCAAAACCAGTGATTGAATATTACAAACAAAAGAGAAAGTTGAAAAAGGTATTGGAAAGTGAACCAGTGCTTTCGAATAGTGAAGAAGAATCTCATGAAATCAAACTAGACGAAACAAAAGTAACCAACCACGCAGAAATTGAACCCTTCTCTGAATTATTCATCAAACAACTCATCCACACAATCGAATACGTTCTCAACACTGTCTCCAACACTGCTTCCTATCTTAGATTGTGGGCTCTTTCCCTAGCTCACGCTCAATTATCTGAAGTTTTTTGGCAAATGACATTGGGTATTCTCTTAAATAGTTTAGAATCGTATCCGTTATTGGAAGACATCCTAGTTCATTATGGTATTGGAGTTTTCTTCTTGTGTGCCTTGTGGTTTGGCATGACTATTGGAGTTTTACTAATTATGGAATCATTGTCTGCCTTCTTGCATGCCATTAGATTGACCTGGATTGAATTCCAAGGTAAATTCTTTGGAGGAACAGGATCATTGTTTCAACCATTTAGTTTTGAAACATTTGGAAAAACTGAATAAACTAATTCCATTCTATTGGGTTTTCACATAGCAAGACTAGCTGCTGATTTAAAAAGAATAAGAAAGATTTGATAATAATTTGGACAAATTTAAAGAATGTGTTATCAAACTGATAATGATTCCACAACTATATGAAACATGCAAATAGTCTGCACAGTTTCGATTGTTTGATATTAACAATTCTAGACCAAGAGATTGAGAAGAACAAGTTTTGAATTATAAATAATTAATAGTTTGGGGTTTTTATATTTACAAGAAGCCTAGGATTTGTTGTTGGGAATAGATACAATGATTACTTTGTGGATAAGTCGTTACCATCACTATTGTGTTTCGGAATCACATTAATAAATAATAATTAATTCATCACACATAATTAATATAATAGGGAATCACATGGTCATTTAGATAAAGGGGTTAGTTCAATCAAAAGGACTCACCTCACACAAATTATCATCATCATATGAAAGGTTAGCAAAAATTGAATTAAGTTCTTTCACCTCTAATTCTCTTGGCCAATTGCATATCCTTTTGCATGATAGTAACTCTCTTAGCGTGGATGGCACATAAGTTGGTATCTTCAAACAAGGAAACCAAATAGGCTTCGGAAGCTTCTTGCAAAGCCAAGACAGCATTAGATTGGAAACGCAAGTCAGACTTGTAGTCTTGAGCAATTTCTCTGACCAATCTTTGGAATGGCAACTTTCTGATCAACAATTCAGTGGACTTTTGATACTTTCTGATTTCTCTCAAGGCAACGGTACCTGGCTTATATCTGTGTGGCTTCTTCAAACCACCAGTTGATGGTTGTTTGGCGGACTTTCTAGCAGCTTTGGAAGCCAATTGTTTTCTTGGTGCTTTACCACCTGTGGACTTTCTGGCAGTTTGCTTGGTTCTGGCCATTTTGTTATTGTGTTGTTTTTTTTTAACTTGGTGTTTGAGCCAAATTGAATGGTTTGGTCTATTTATAAAAAATTGCTTTTGTAACGGTTTTGCATTTTTATTAAATTTAAATTTTTATGAAACGGCTAGTTTTTTGTAACAACAAGGAATAGTAAAGTCATTTTAGATTCAACTACAGTACAACAACACGCAATGATTTACTTATTTTACAACATAATATATGTAATTAATATAATAATTTATTAACATGTCATTGCATTTACAAGACAGTAATCAAAGCAAAAGTGGCATAGACCAATCCTATTGGATAGGAAACAAGCATTCTCTGATGACTCATTCCTAGAGCAGCAACAAACATTGTACTCGATCCATATGTACTCCAAAATACAGCAATAGCACTCAACACCAAGCTCACATATGGGAATGGTAAGAGTGTTGTTAACAAGCCAAGAACAACCATTGGTAATAAACCATATCCGAGAATAGAAATACAATGTTGTAATTCAATGTGCTTCGAGAGAGGACACATTAAATTCAAAAGAACATAAATTGATAAACATCCAATAACAACAACTCCGTAAATATAATTAAAGTGAATCTTTCCTTTGAGAAGAAGTGTAAATCCTAAAGCCAGACAAAAGATCAAAGGTCCGGCTAAATCCATATCTTTCAAAAGGTGTTGTATAGTTGATTCCTCACTGCTCATAGAGGAATTACGATGATGTTGTTGTTGTTGTTGATTTTGATAGTGTGGATCGTTGGTAATCATCATGGAGTGAAGTGCCTTTCTTCTCTCCCTAGAGAATGGATTTAAAACAAATAAACTTCTGTCCCACATATCAGTAAAGTTAATTCCTAATTCTTCTAATAAAGGTACTTCATCAATGACTGGTTCCAAACTATTTTGCTTTCTCATTTGTTGTTGATTTGCTACCAATGGTGATGTGCTTCTAATTCCAATTGGTGATGTTGGTCTACTATTTGATGCACTTCCTCCACTATTATAATTAACATCAACCATATCAAATGATGGATTTCTTGAGTGTCCTCTTCCTCCGAAAAAATCATCATGTCTAATTGGTTGGAATGTATATTCAGATGATACACCAGCAGCAGATGATGGACTCAACATATCATTGCTACCACTACCATTATAGAAAGGATCGTTTGAATTGTTCCACAACACTGAATTACGTTCTTGATGCATTTTATTTAAATATTTTAATTAAATTTTAAAATAAAATTACGTGTTCTTGGTTATCTAGTGACGCTGATGGAATGAATAAATTTATTATCTAGTTTTATGTTTCAAATCAAATGATGATAAGAGAATAGTTTGATGAGAACATTTTCATGTGATGATCTCTTCATTCTATTTGTTGCTCAATTATGATCATAATTTTAAATCAATATGATGTTTCTTCCGAAATTTATGATTATTAATACATATTATTAAAATTCAATGAATGAAACCCTTGATAAATTAAGAAGGGTTAATTAATTAATCTCCCCTAAGGCCTAATTAAGCTCTAGACCTTTACTTTAATACTTTACAAAACTCTGTCGACGTGTCCAACCCAATAAAATCCAACAAGACACCTGTGCAATATTTTGTAAGAAGCAATAATATTCTTCAAAATTCACCGATGAGACTCTACTATTCAATACAGATTCTTCTTCCATTCACTATCAAGATGAAAACTCAATCCGTATGCAAGTCCGTTCATGTGCTCATATCCATTCTTATTGATGAGGAACAATTTCAAAAAAATTGAAACAAAGGAACGATCATACTAGTTCATCAGCAACTCTCGATGGAATTTTACTTTTGAAATTTACATCATCATCATCATCGCAGCCATTAATAGTATAATTATATTATCCTGATAATTTAAATTAAATTGGAGAATTTTGATTTTAAAGCCTCCTCATCATTGAATATATAATTTATCATCAGATTCTTTATGAAATCTATTGTTAGGAGAAATAATTGTTGTTCAAGTGTATTATCATCTATTCTCCTTCCAGGTTTATTTGGCAAATCATTGAAAATTAAACCATCATCAACAGCTCTACCAACACTCTCCCGAAAATTAGAGACAATTCCATACTCTTCTCCAAACTCCAAATTCTATTCCATTCATCATCACAATAACTCTTCAAATCAACAAAATACCATTACACAACTTTCCGAAATGGCTTCACAAGAACATATCACAGAAAAGAATTATGAGAATGCATTGAAAATTCTCGATTCACTCATCTCTAGGAAAGCTCCTCCTCATGATGCAAATGCTCATGAATTGAGTTTGGAAATTACAAAATCATATTGTGATAAAATTGGATTGGATCATTCTAAATTACAAATGATTCACGTGGCAGGTACCAAAGGAAAGGGAAGTACTTGTGCATTCTGTGAATATATACTGAAAAAACAAGGTCTCAAAACTGGATTGTTCACTTCTCCGCATCTTGTTGATATTAGAGAAAGAATACGTATTGATGGTGGTCTGGTCTCTAAGGAAACATTTACAAATGCATTTTGGTATTGTTATGATAGATTGACTCAGGAAACAACTTCTGAACAAACATTCCCAATGACAACCTATTTCCGATTGATGGTTCTCGTCTCACTGAAGGCATTTATTGACGAGAAGGTTGATGTAGCCATTATAGAGGTTGGTATTGGTGGTAAATATGATGCAACCAATATTATTGATCCAGTTGTGTGTGGTATCTCATCGATTGGGTACGATCACATGGATTTATTGGGTGAAACCATTACTGAAATATCTGCTCAAAAGGCTGGCATTATGAAGAAGGATGTTCCATGTATTACTTGCCCTCAAAAGGAGGAAGCATTGGCCTCTTTCATCAAGACCTCAGAGCAAACACACGCACCTCTTTATATGTGTCCATCTATTGAGGATTATGAAAGAATTCTCAATGAGAAGGGTAGCATTAACAAGCTTGAAATTGGGCTAAAGGGTGAACATCAAAGATGGAATGCTGCATTGGCTATTGCCCTTTGTAAAACATTCTTGGAAAGGACTAATAGAAGTGTTTCAGTATCTTTAAGCACTATTGAGGAAAATAATATCCTTACCAAATTTAATCAGTGTTTGAAGGGAGAGGTTTGTGAGCCAATTTCACAAACTCCTCTCACATTGGCCAACTCCAATTATGAAACCACAACTCACAAGGAAGAACTCAAAAACTTTTTACCATTCCACCTTTCTGAAACTTTCATTGAAGGGTTGAAGAGTACTAGATGGCCAGGTAGGTGTCAAATAGTAAACTTCCCAGGATTGGATTTCTATATTGATGGAGCTCACACTGATGAGAGTTTGGACCTTTGTAGAAGGTGGTTTGTTCAATGCATTGACAAGAATGATCAAGCTCCTCAAGAATTCGAAGACATTTCCTACATTTCAAGTGACAATGAAGAAAATTCCTCTCTAACCTTCCAAAGAAGAATAGATGCTCAAAATTCTGAATCCTCCAAAGATCACAAGAAGGTCCTTGTTTTCAACTATACAGGTGTAAGAGATCCAAGAAAACTCTTAGCTTCCCTTACAACCTCAAAAGAATATTTCGATTATGTCATTTTCTGTCCAACCGATTCACAAAAGAATAGTTTGGTAAACAAATCAACTGGCATGTCAAAGGCCGAGTCAGAAAAGCTTAACAACTTGAAGAAGCTTTGGATTGAATTAACTGGTGACGAATCAAAAGTTTCCATCTTCAATAGCATCAATCAAGTTTTAGATTTTGTGTGGGATATGAAATCTCAACAAGTTTCAGTTCTCGTGACTGGCTCACTTTATTTGATTGGAGATTTTTCCAGAAAATTACACAAGATTCACAGAAATAATCATAAAAATTGAACTTTTATTCAATCAACTTGAATTAAAAGTACTTCTTTTCATAATAAATTAAAAGCTTTTAATTATTGAAGAAATATTGATTAAATAATTAAAAATTAATATTAAAAAAATGAGTCAATTCAACAAGGAAGATATCAATTCGGAATTGAAGAATTTGTTAGGAAGGGTTGTTTCGATGAATTCATCATCATCTACTTCTCTCCTCTCGGAATCAAATAGTAATTTTAAAATTGAGGGAAAATCATTTTCGGAAATTGTGAGAATTATTGCTGATCACATTTCTCTCTTCTCCGATATGGAAATTAAACAATTGATAATACCACACATCATTTTGTCGAACTCGTACAAGAAAAAGGCAACAAATTTTGTGGAGAGGTTTTGCTTTCTAGTGGATTATGTCCTTTCTCATAAGCATTTTCCAATAATTATTCATAATTTACTGGTGCCCATGATGGAACAAAATGATTTTTATTTCAGTATGGTGAAATCTTGTATGGAAGGAGGGAAAAATTCAATAACTGGCAATATTGAACAAGAGACCATCATTAGAATTATTTTAACTCTTCATGAAAAGATTAGTGCACTCTATTTTAAGAGTGATGATAGAAATCGAGACGATTCGAAAGGGTCTACGTCAAAAAAGAATGATAGTTTAATTGTAGAATTGCTGGACCATGCATCAGCATCTGAGGATCTACTTGTTTTCAAAGGAGAGCTTAGCACTCAATCTCAATACATGAGAACAAACTCTTCATTGTGGAAGTTACCAAAGCTATTCAATTCTGATATCTATATTTCACACATAATCAATTCACTAATTTCCATAGAGTCTGAGGATGAGGAAATTATCAATTATTCCATTGACATAGCTGGAAATTTCATTTTACAATTCATCAAGAGAGGATATGGAGATATTTGTTGTGATATACTTGTGAAATGGTTTTCAGAATCCAATCATCAATTGTACAGAGTATTATCTTCATTGGAAAATAGAAAGGGTTTCAATATTAGTGCACTGGAAAATATTGTAAAATCATTCATCATCAAAGTTCTAAAGAGTAGACCAAGTTTGGATAGGTATGAAGAATTGGTCAAGTTTTTCAATGAGAAGATTCTCAAATCATTTTTGTGGTATGAACTATTCTCAAATGCACTTATTTTCAAGTACGCCTTTGCACCACACGTTGTAAACAGGAATGAGTATATTTTTGTAAAGATGTTAATTGATTCAATCGGACCAGCTTGTACCAATACAACAATTGCCCTTTCATCAGTAACGGATTATATCAGTTCAATATGGAAACAACATTATTTTATTATGCAATCTAATGAGGAACAGCAATTATGTATGTTTTTATTAATAATGTGGCATTTTCTAATAATGGAATAATTTAATAGATGTATCGTATTGTCTTGCTATGCTTATTTCACTAATGAGCAAGGAAGAGTTTGAAATTTCAAATACCTTGAAAAATTGTATTGAAGGAATTCAGCAAAGATTACATTCTTCAATTGACTATGTAAGAAAAAGTGGATGTGTAAGTTGATTAGTTGTCATACATATATATTTAACAATATCTAGTTACTTTCTCTACAAATGAGTAAGAGCATTAATCCAAAGCAACCTCCGCTCGTTCTCTTTGAAGAATACAAGGATTGTCTCGATGAGCTCACATCTAACATTCAGAATTCAAGTACCAATTTTTCAGAGAGGAAACCCAATGTATTTGGAGAACCAAAATCAAATTTAAAGAAGGATCTTGATAAGAAAAAGAAGGAGAAAGTTTTCAATCCTAATCAATTACTCCTCGATGACGACGAGGAGAGCAGTAGCTCTGAAGAGGAAGAAGCAGATCTCTCTGATACATCTTCAGTAGAATCTCTCCAATCTTTGGACATGTCTGATGAGGAGCATGATCACGAGAATAATCCTTACAGACCATACTATATCAAGGATGTAATTGACTTTTTATTTGCCAACGATCAAGACAAGGATCAAATGTTCAAAATTGAAGCAGCTCTCAAGTATGCAACCACAATTATTGAAAGAGCAGATCCAAAGGTGGTCCAATTGAATGGTGTTAATTTGTGTACAGCTCTATTGACCTGTTCAGAGACTACCATTGATAATTATTTCACAGATAGAATGAATGCCATGGTTGCACTTCTCACCAAGACATGTTCATCCGTAATTGAACTTCAATTTGATAAGCAAGATCAGAGGTCTATTGACTTTGAAGATGAAACAGTTTTAATATACTTGACAAACAAATTCTGGTCCAACCAAGTGACCCAAGCTCAAAGAATTGACATTTTGACAGTACTTGTGAAATCTGCCCTCAATCTTTCGAATAATACTTCAATCTCTCAATCTGAAAAGAAGAAGGAAGATACACCTCCAACCTCCACTAACGAAACAAAGAATTCCAAAACCACCTACACTCCTCAATATCCAGCCAACACTAGAAGATGGGGCTCCTCCCTAAATAAGAAAAAGACAGAAAAGGTAGCCAAGGCAAACTACTTTCTTCTCCACGCCTACCGATTCTACTACATGCTGCTGAGAACAAAGAATCAAATGTCTAACACCATTCACATCATGTTTGGTGAGGATAGTTTAGTTCTCTCCAAGATTATTCACACCATTGGAATTTTCATATATTGTTGTGGATCTAATCCTGCTCCATTGGTTGGACAAGAATTGGCAAGGAATACCATCGAATTCTGTTGGACACTCATTCTACACTGTAAGGATGTCCAAAAAGTGAATAGTCTTAGAGCTAGTATTCTAAATACACTTCATACCTCCTTCTGTTCTTGCACATCTGAAACTCTGTTGAATGAAGTGAAGGTGGAGGTGCATTCGGTATTTGATTGGTTGATGGATATTAGTGAGAATGATGGAGGTAATGAGTGTAGAGAGCTTGCCAAAATGGCTCTTGCCTCATTGTCATCCAAAGTTTCTAAATAAACTGTAGTGAAATAGTTTAATTTATTTTGTTATTAATATTTCTCACGTATTACTAAGAGTGTATTAGCAAATGCCATTAATTTACAAGGATGGTTTAACGATTGGCTTTGATGACTTTTTGCATGTCTTTCTCTTGATACAAATCTTCTTCTTGATTGACTTGCAACACTTTTTCTTTCCACCAACTAATTTGAATTTCTTACAAATCTTCTTTCCCTTTGAACGTTTCAAACACTTCTTATAATACTTCTTCTTGATACATCTTGGTGGAATGACAATTGACTTGGCACAATACTTCTTCTTGTTATATTTCACACATTTGGAAATAGTCTTCTTGTGTTTACAGAACTTGATAGTCTTATGTTTGGCACAGAAGAATTTCTTCTTAATGAGACAACACTTCTTAATGGATTTTCTCTCCTTACAGTATTTAACCTTCTTATACTTGGCGCATTTCTTTGCCCATGAAACAATCTTGCACTTTTTAACATATCTACATTTGGCAACCTTCTTATTATAGGAATCAACAGTATACTTGTCGCAAATCTTCTTCTTTTCACACTTCTTGATTGGAACCTTCTTGAATTTCTTACAGACCTTCTTATATCCCTTCTTGACGCACTTGTTGATAATCTTGTGTTTGGCACAGAATTTCTTGTAACCCTTCTTGATACAAATCTTCTTAGTTCCATAAGAATCACAAACTTTCCAATACTTCTTCTTGGCACATCCAACAATCTTGTATGCATGCAAGACACACTTCTTTGTTGCCTTACTGTACTTGTCACATTTAGAATATTTCTTATGTTTGAGACATTTGCCAGCACCGACAATTGCATATTGATCACAGACCTTCTTTTGACCGACGAGTTTGTGTTTCAAACACTTCTTAATCCACTTGTGCTTTAAACATTTTCTCTTACAAATTCTTGGCTTGTGATACTTGTCAACAACTGGAGGTTTAGTTTGATAGCTGTCACTTGCTTGAACTGAGAGGATTGCAAGTAAAAGTAGAATTGCAATTGAAAAGATTAGATTTGTTTTCATTTTTTTTTGTTGGATAGTAAAGTTCAAACACATGGTGCTAATTTAAACCATTTCGAATAGTTTTTCATTTGGAACAAACTCAAAAAGTTAGATGTAAGGTTCCAAATTTGGATGGAAATCTGATTTCCCCTAATGAAACCTTCACTGATTCAATTTACTAATTTACTTTTCAAATATCAACTCATATTTCAAACAATCCACTGACTAAACTCTATTCTGAATAGAGCGTCAAATTCAATAAGTTATATTTAAAATTAATCAAAACCAAAACCAAATCTATTTTTGGAAGTGCTTATTATCATATCTTGATCTGTGTGTTTAATAGATAAATTTGTGGGTGAATAGTTTAATTGGGAGAACATAGACGCTCACCGTTGAATCTAAGGTGGTAGATCGACACTACCTTCACTCACAAACTTTTTGTGTGTCAATTTCATATTTTTTCTGAAACGCAAGTCCACCATTGAAATAGATGTTAATTTTATTAAGAGTATTTTGGAAAAACCTTAAAAGATTCCAGTTTGAGTAAATGTTAATTGGCGGACAATTGTTTGGAAGAAAACACTAGAATCAACTACTTTAGAAAAAGAGGATTATTTCAATCAGATATTATTCTTCAAAACACATACCAGTGTTTCCTATAATCTGTAAAGCTAGTTGATAAGCTTTCTTGAAACATTGTTTGAGAGTCAAAGTACGCGAATGTTTTAATGATTCAAAACGTAATGTATAAAATCATTGCTGACGGACGGGATCGAACCGGCGACCAATGGCTTATTAGACCAACGCTCTACCGACTGAGCTACGCCAGCTGCTTCATGATTTCCTTAATACCTTAAACCTCTTTATATACTTTCTCAACCACTGCTCAAATTTTATAAAACGAATAGCTATAATGAATAATGAAAAACCATTTATTAATTCATTTTTCCAGTTGGAATATTATACATTTTAAAATTTACACATTTAGGTTCGCATTTAAGAGCTAAAGGAATATTACATGAAACACCTGTCCAACCTTCAGAACATTGATACAATGACCATTGTTACAACCATTGGTGCAAATTGGCTAGGCTGGCCTGTTGCAAGAAGCACCAGTCCAACCAATTTGGCACATACAAGATCCTTGGATGCATTGACCATGGAAACATTGAGTAGCGCAGGAGATTTCTGGACTATTGCACTCAGCTCCCATCCATTGTTACACTTACATTGTCCAGAAACACATTTACCATGAACTCATTGAGGATTGCATTCAGAAAGTGGAACATTACAAGCTTCACCTATCCATCCTTGAGCACATACATTGACCAGAAACGCATTGACCATGGACACATTTTGGATTACATGGATATCTTTACAATGTCTCTATTATTCTGCAATCCTGTATACTTAATAAATGTTGGGTTTCCATTAAAAACCCAGAATTAATACATCAATTTATTTAAAATGATTTAACTCTTTATCTCATATTAACCATGTCCAACACATTTTTCACATTCTTCTTCAAAGTTTCGTTCAACAACTTGTTTTCGATTGCTTTCGTTAAAAGTTGAAAGTGTTTCTCAATATATGGAGCTAGTAAAGGCAGATATAATGATCTATCCATAGAAAGAAGTTCATTTCCTGGGTAGCTCAAATATTCAATGACAAAACTTGGATGATTTACACTTAAAACAATGTTATACTTTGAAATCTTCTTTCTTTTCATAACTATTCCAATTAATTCCCCTTTTATAGAAAATACAGCAGAACCTTCCATTCCAAAACAAGTCGCATTTGAAATTAACATGAAATCGGGATTAGTGCTGTGTTTGATCTTTCCTATACTTGCTGTTTTATAATTGTAAGAGAATATAGCATCGAATGCCCTCCTTTTTGGAGGAATTTCATAAGCATTCAGAATTTGAGCCTTGGAAGGTCTTGTTGGGTATCCAATCACTATAACAGGAGTTTCTTCTACTTGATTATAAGCACATGGTACAATAAACTCTGTTTTCAAGCTGTTATCCGAAATCTTTCCACATAACATTGAAAAATCAATTCCCTCAATATCCAATCCATTTCCAAAGGAGGTACAAGCACAAAATTCCACAAACTTTCTCTTAATTTTTTCTTTCATCATTACTTGATGAGGAGAAAACAAATCATTTGAAGCACAATAAATTGTACCTTCCTTCTCAATTGATGAACTTCCTATGTATGAAGGAGAAAATTGAAATCCAGAAGAATGAAGAGGATTATTTTCATCTTCATCTAACCATTCTTTCAAAGTGCAAATTTTGAAAGCTTTCTTTCTAATGTCAGGTAACCACAATGGAATACATTCATTGGCAAAGTCATTGAGGGGCATATTATCTTGAAATTCTTCACGAGATTCGCCCGAATAAAACATCATATGTTCATCCGAAAATTGCCAAATAATAGTTGCTGCTAATATTGATGAATTCTTAATATCAAAATATTTCATAACTGCTACGTCATCTCCTCCTCCCTCATTGAAAATTTCTTCTTGGTCGGTTAATCTATTCTCTTTAGCATAACAACCCATGTTTTTGATCTGGTCTATTTTTATTTTAATGAAAATTTTCCTCAGCCACTTTTTCAGTTACTAAGGATGCATAGATTTAATGAATTAGAATACTTGAAAGCAAATGGTTGATCCTCTTAGATTTATCAAGTTTCGGCAAGTCCAGAGTTTATTGTGTGAATAATAATTGCTTTATTTCTTATCAGGAGAGAATACATTAATCGAATAAATACTGAAACTCGAGCAAGCCTTAAATCTTGATTGGAAACGCTTATTACTCGTTAAAAAACACTTTTAAAAAATGGAACAACAAGTAAGAAAAATGGCTAATGAAAACGAATGTGAAGGAACAGTAGAAGAAATGTGTGTGGATACCTGTAATTATTTGTTACCACCAGGGACCTTGTTCTTTCCGGACAGGATACTGATTTGTTTGCTTCTGAAGAGTTTGATCCTTGCCCAAATTGGATAACTGAAACAAGAGAAAAAGCTAATATAATTCGTAGAATTGATACGGATAAGAAATCTATTTCTTCTAGCTTGCAATTATCACCTTCTTTTCTAGTTATTGGATTCCCCAATGCACCATCTGCACGATATCTATCTAGCACTTATGAACAAACACCCTCTAATGTCTAATTCTGAGCGAAGTGAAGAATGGACTTGTTTTCATTGTAAACTTAATAAAATATAAGTTGAGTATTTTTCCATGCTCAAAAAATTATCACAATGGCCCCAACACCAACTACACCAAAGAACAACAAGAAAACGAAAGACCTTAGCTCACCTTCTGCAGGTAGCGAGCAACGAGTCATTGTTCTAACTCCTTCCGCCAAGGTTGGTTCACAAGGTGCTTCTGCTCTCGCTTCTTCGATGGAATTGTTTGAGTCCAACCCATCTGAAGAGGTTTCTGGTAAAAGAGCAAGAGTTGCTGATGAACCAGATGATTGGTTTAAAAACCACGTCATCAACTCTTACCAAAGAATGTTTGGTGAGTCATTGAAAGAAGATTTGCCGTTGGAAGAAGCTGTTTCTCTTCTATTCGAAACAGCCAATGCTCCATACGCTGACAACTTGGAATTCAAGAATAGAATGGCTGCTCTTGAATTGTTGTTCAGAAAAGAAGTAGACACTCCCATTCCAGATTCATCTGGTATAAAAGATATTAAAAGTAAAGGTTATTCTTTACTTTTAACAAACTCTTTTATCATCTCTCAAATCTGCAAGCGTTTGAGAGAGAGTGATACCCTTGATTTACCGCTTATTCTTCAAGGATTTGAATTTATTCAGAATATTTCTGAGTTAAATCTAGTCTGTATTCGAATGGGCATTAAAAATGGCTTTGAAGCAGCTGAAAACTTCTCTAACAGCTACAAATCAGGAGGTTCACTTGACCAAATCACCTCCAAACAACAAGAGAAGGCCATTAAATCTGCTGAAAAAGTAAAAGCAGTAGAAACCATTGAAAAAGTCAGCAAATGGGCCAGCAGAACCCCTAATTTTCATAAGTTCCCCACTAGATACGATAATCTTAGTAGTACCGTTTCAGTTTTACCTAGTTGTAATAAACACCGGAAATTTATTTATGTTTTTAACAATAAAAGCTGAAAGTAGTCAAATGATGATATTTGAAATATATATATATATATATATATATATATATATATATTTTAATTGATGTTAGATATTAGTTGTTCCATTTATTTTTAAACTACTCCATCAACCTCCATGAATCTAGTTGTCTATTTCTTGTTGTAAGAGTTTTTCTTTGTTTTAATAAACAACTATCATAACTCTACTTTTACTACTTCTAATAACAGTGTTTTTGTAATATTTTTACAAAGTTTGTTTTTTCTTTGAATTTATTTTCTTTGGATTTACCATAAAGATTATTACTTCCAATGTAGAGTTGCGAGGAACGATGCAACGTTAGTATTACGACAAATTGTAAACAATAAAATTGAGTTGATAAATAATTTTATGCTCAAAAAAATTAAGTATATTGAAATGGTTCAAACACCAAGCAAGGCGAATATTTCCAACATTCGTCAAAGAGTTTCAGCAAGCAAATCTTCAACTTCTACCTACAAGTCAGGTTACATCCCAGTAACTGACAATGGTAGCTCAGCTTCACTCCCCTCTGTGGTTGACCCAACATCCAAAACCTTGGATAACAACCAAGCTGGTTCTGAAAAGAACCTTGATGCTATTCTCAACGCCATCACTTCTTTGGGTGAGAGAATAAAGCATCTCGAAGCTGTTCCTCCTGTTCTGCAACAAGCTAATCAACTTGATGAAGACCCTGATGAGGAATCCGCTGATGAGGATTTCACTGGTAAACATTGGGGTCTAACTACTATCAAGGAGATTAGACGTAACTACGAAGTTGGTGATAGACTATCCGATGGAGATGTCTTAAGTTTTGTCTCAGCCAAAACACTTCGTCATTACTCTTCCAATGAGGCGTTGTTGAATAGAGTTCAAGTTTTGATGGCTCGATTTGAATCTGTCATTCACAACTCTCGTAACTATCCTCGTCTGCAAGAAATTCAATCCAAAGGCTTGCAAAAGATGATGGAAATGTTACATTTGAAGTCTAAATTACTTCAGTTTGCTCTGAGCCATCCATTAAATGTAACCAACATCATTGAAATCACTGAGTTGGTGTTTCTCCTCTCTGAGGTTGAGAAAATCTTTTTAGAAGAAGGTTTATTCGAAAGTAACTTTGATGTTGCGAACCAATTTATTCAACCCTTCATCCAAAGCAACACGTTTGCTGATATAACAGAAAAAGCTCGTCAAAAGAAGAGAGAGAAGTCTGTAGTAAAGCATGCCATTACCAGCAAGATCCAAAAACCTCTAAAGATGAAAGAAAAGTTTCAAAAACCGTCCTCTCATCAAGGTGGCATCCCTAACAGCTATTCAAAGCCATTCAACAATTACAACAAGAGTGGTTCCTCTTTTCAAAAGTCAGGAGATTCCAAGCCAAAGTACAATAACAATGGTGGAGGATCTTTCAAACAAGACCTCTGACTTGGTAGGTTGCCGTCTCAACAAGTTTGTACCTCAGTGGGAGAGTTACAACTTCAACCCATTTATAGTGGATTGGATTCGAAATGGAGTCCCAATCTACTCAAATCCCACCCTTTGGAAAGAATTCAAACAAAGGAAGAATTTCTCTCCAAAGGAAACCTCTTGGATGGATCAGGAAATCCAAGATATGCTGAGTTCCAATGTAATAGAGATTGGAAACAGTTCAACAATATTCAATAGCTATAGGATCATCAATGGTGAGATCAAACACATTGATAAACCAGAGAAAACCACCATAAATTCTATTATAAGTTCTGAATGTTTTCTCAGCTATTGATGAAAGGATACTAAGATCCCTTATTGCTTGAACAACTTGCCATGCACTTGAACAACCAGGAAATTGGAAGTCTCGAACTTGTCTTGCAACTCTGACAAGGGCGTTATTATAAGCATCTTTCGGGAAACAGGTATTATCCTTTCTGATATCTTTAGCAAGACTGGAAACCATATCGAAGAGGGCCAGTCTGGAACTACAAATGTCGCTTTCGCTTCTGATTTTATGCAATGAACTAGAGCTTGAGATATCAGACCCAGAGGAGGAACACAATAACTCATCAGATTTTGTTCCCATGGATTCAAGAATGTGTCGTTCTCTATCCATGAGTTGAATTGAATTGTTGTGGTTGATTCCGATGTCGCGAACCTGTCCACATGGTGTTCTCCAAATTCTGTCTGAACTAGATGCAGTAGTTCTTGAGATGATTTCCATTCTGTTAAGCGACTCAGTCTGTCTGCTAGATTGTTCTCCTTTGAGGGAATGTAAATCACCTTTGAAATCCACCATTTTCTTCTCATCAAGATCTTGTAGAGGTCTCTGGCAATTTGAGAGAGTTCTTCTATGACTCCGTAACCTCTCCTTATATAGGAAATTGCTGTAACATTGTCGCCTCTGATTTCGAATGCTTGTCCAGGACCATAAAGGTTTAACCGATCTGCTTGTGTGAAGAAAATGAGGAGTGTTTTTAACTCTTTCACATTGATGTGTTCTGAGGAAGTGAATCTTCCAATTGTAATGGTTGACTCTGCGTGAATTCCATAGCCTGTTGGGCAGGCATCTGAATTCACTCGAATTGGGTTCATTGAATTCAGTTCGAAGGGAATTCCACTGTTTTCCTGAATCAGATCTTTCAAAATATTTAGATCCTTCGCTGCACCTCTGAATATTCTCATTGATGCGTGCCAAGATTTGTCGTTTACTACTTTCACCATATCCTTCCGAAGACGAGCAAGAAAGGGAGCAAAGTAGTGGTTTGAAAGAGTTAGAAATTCCATCTTTCCGAGGAATTGTGCTACTTTCTTGCATGCTACAAACCTGTTCCGTTGGTTTGCTGATAAGAATTTTTGAATCATTTCTAAGGCTGTTGATTGTTTGTTGACTGGGATTTTCACAAGGCCAAGTACGAGATCCAGTTCCAGACCGAGAAACTCTATGTGTTGACACGGTGCTAATACGCTTTTCTCTTTCTGGATTATCCATCCCAATGTCTCCAGATCCTTCATGACTATGTCTGTGAGCAGTTGGGTAGTTTCTTTGCTGTTGCTTAGAATCAAAATATCGTCTATGTAAATAAATACTAGAATACCCTTCTTTCTCCACTTGGTCACCAACTCTTTCATAATCTTTGTGAAATTTCTGGGAGCTTGACTTAGCCCAAACGGTAGGCATTTGAACTGATAAATCTTGTCCTTGTACCGGAATCCAAGAAGATTGCGATGTTTCTCCCTGATTGGAACGTGGAAGTAACCCTTCTTCAGGTCTATCTTTGTTGCCCACATTCCCTTCTGAACAAATTTCAAACATCTTTGAATGTTGTCCATCTTGAAGGAACTGTCCTTTATTCCTAAATTGACCTTCCTTAGGTCTAGAATAAAGCGAAATTGATCCGAACCCTTCTTGGGTACAATGTTTATTGGGTTCAATATTGTTGAACTGTTTCCAATCTCTATTACATTGGAACTCAGCATATCTTGGATTTCCTGATCCATCCAAGAGGTTTCCTTTGGAGAGAAATTCTTCCTTTGTTTGAATTCTTTCCAAAGGGTGGGATTTGAGTAGATTGGGACTCCATTTCGAATCCAATCCACTATAAATGGGTTGAAGTTGTAACTCTCCCACTGAGGTACAAACTTGTTGAGACGGCAACCTACCAAGTCAGAGGTCTTGTTTGAAAGATCCTCCACCATTGTTATTGTACTTTGGCTTGGAATCTCCTGACTTTTGAAAAGAGGAACCACTCTTGTTGTAATTGTTGAATGGCTTTGAATAGCTGTTAGGGATGCCACCTTGATGAGAGGACGGTTTTTGAAACTTTTCTTTCATCTTTAGAGGTTTTTGGATCTTGCTGGTGATGGCATGTTTTACTATAGACTTCTCTCTCTTCTTTTGACGAGCTTTTTCTGTTATATCAGCAAACGTGTTGCTTTGGATGAAGGGTTGAATAAATTGGTTCGCAACATCAAAGTTACTTTCGAACAAACCTTCTTCTAAAAAGATTTTCTCAACCTCAGAGAGGAGAAACACCAACTCAGTGATTTCAATGATGTTGGTTACATTTAATGGATGGCTCAGAGCAAACTGAAGTAATTTAGACTTCAAATGTAACATTTCCATCATCTTTTGCAAGCCTTTGGATTGAATTTCTTGCAGACGAGGATAGTTACGAGAGTTGTGAATGACAGATTCAAATCGAGCCATCAAAACTTGAACTCTACTCAACAACGCCTCATTGGAAGAGTAATGACGAAGTGTTTTGGCTGAGACAAAACTTAAGACATCTCCATCGGATATGTTCTAGGCTACTTTTTTCGCCTGAAAAACAGGCAAAAAATATATAGGCCAAAAAAAATAGCCTAAAATGTCTATGCGAAAATAGTAAGGTGCTTATTTGATGGACAAAAGTTCTTGGTGTTGCCTTGTATGTATTAATAACACCGAACAAATACACGTTCCATTATTTTCCACCATTAAGAAAAAATATTTCAGCCCAAACACACATTGGGAACACTTTGGTGATTTTCAGAGTGATTTCACCCCATGAATCCACCAAACTTTCACATCATCATCTCAACATCATCCTAATAGTATTACTGGTAGTATTTTTTATTATTGGATTGTGATTATAAATTTGGAATTTAATTTTCACTTGGGAAAAATTCAAGTTGGTAAACCATCATCGGAACAACTTCCAACCATCATCATTGTTATTTATCATCATTATAATAGTAATATTTGTGGAAATAAATCTGATAATAGTAATATTTTAGTGAAATTCAATATTTTCACTAAAATCATCATCACTGCCAGATTCATATGGTAATTTGGAAAACTTTCATCTAGTATTGTTCAGCATGGTCGATTCCATCAGGTAAAATCACTTCCGAACATTTTCCTATTGGTTATCATGATGATAGGTTCATGTATATTTTCAACATGTACATGGACCATAACTCAACATGTACTTCACCAACTTTGAAAATGTCTTTCATAACTACTATTCAAATACATAATAAACAATATATTTATTATCAGTTTTTCATCATTTTGTTGTTTTACCAACTTCGGAATATTCATGATAACATATCATGATTCATGCCAAAAGTACATAGCCAAACTTCTTGAAACATTAATAAACTGTTATTAGTATTATTGTAGATGTACCATATCAAATATTTCGTTTTATTTCGATGAGATCATAAAGATCTTAAATTTCTCTCTAAACATGCAAGTTCTCAGCCTAACCAGATGTTCACCATGTCAAAACATCAAAATAATAAATTTCATTGTACTTTTGTATCACACATTAATTTATTGTGTTAAATTCATTGAATTGGAGATTTTAAATTTTTAAAAACTAATCTGTGATTATTTACCAATTAAATATACTTCTTTAATACTTGATAATTCATAAAATCCTAGTAGATATTGAATAGGTTCATAAAACAAGATATTACACATAATGGCTCTAAATTCATGCTAATAGAGCTTGTTTAATGAGACTTATCATATTAATGATAATTCCTACCTTAACAGATAAGTGTTGTCTAATTGGATTCTATTTGTGCAAGGCCTAATTCCATCCCTGATATAGCAGACTTTTAGGGATGGATAATTTTAATGGAATCTATCCTAGAAGTATTTTTCGCCTGGAAGGTTCATACCAACGAATTTAACTGCCTGGGTCTTCGTGCGAGTTTTTATCGCCTATAACAGATAGTCTATCACCAACTTCGTAGTTACGTCTAATCTCCTTGATAGTAGTTAGACCCCAATGTTTACCAGTGAAATCCTCATCAGCGGATTCCTCATCAGGGTCTTCATCAAGTTGATTAGCTTGTTGCAGAACAGGAGGAACAGCTTCGAGATGCTTTATTCTCTCACCCAAAGAAGTGATGGCGTTGAAAATAGCATCAAGGTTCTTTTCAGAACCAGCTTGATTGTTATCCAAGGTTTTGCTTGTTGGGTCAACCACAGAGGGGAGTGAAGCTGAGCTACCATTGTCAGTTACTGGGATGTAACCTGACTTGTAGGTAGAAGTTGAAGATTTGCTTGCTGAAACTCTTTGACGAATGTTGGAGATATTCGCTTTGCTTGGTGTTTGAACTACTACAATAGCTGCCAAAAACTTTACAATTCAGGTTAGAACTACTACAATAGCTGCCAAAAACTTTACAATTCTTTTTGAGACAATTTTACCAGCCCTTAGAAGTTATTATTATGCATTGAGAGTTGGAAATTGGAATGAATTTTCATTATCTAGAGATGTATTAACATACCTATTTATTTTGGGAAAACATAACTTATATAGGAATGCAGAAATATTCCAATCTTTGTTATTTGAATTTTGGAAGAAGAAGTCCAAAACGTTTCATGACTTTTTTACGGAAAATTTTACTATGTTCTCCGAAGAAATTGGAGAAATTGCATTTGGGGTTATGGCTGCGAATTCCAAAAATTATACTGAAGATAAGATTTTAGATTACAAAAATAAGAAATTTGTAATGCTAAACAAGACGTTAGAATTGAATGAAGTTTACAAGGGAAAATGCATTCATGGTTATGATGGATTATCTGTCAATTCATCAGAAGTTATTGCCTGTAGAAATGAATTGAAATTGATTATTGACGAATTGAACAATGGGAGTTCTGAATATGGTGAAGAACTAGTGTGTTTTTATACAAAATTATTAAAATATTATTTTAAAAATTATGCTCAAAAAATAGTCTCAACATCATGTCATCATTAAGGCAAAGTCCCACCCATACCCACCCTTAATTAGTATTTACAATTTTTCAGCCTTTATTTCGCTCATTAGCACCCAGTAAGTGGGCTAATTTCAGAGTGCGGCTGTGTACATTCAAGATGTGCAATTTTTACATTTATTCACTAACTTATTTTTTGGATGACAGTTTCTAATAGATTCGAATCATTTTATTTTTCATTCCATTTGTTTCAGAAAATTCATATAGATTTTTATATATTAATGGTGATTTTAGGACTTTCTATTTGTTATTCATTTACTTTTTGGTGATTCTTCCAATGTATGCAGTTGCTTTTCACTTTCTTACTCAAATTGACTACTTTAGTCTCGAAGTTTCGAATATCCCAAATTGGAAAGTTCTTCTCCTTCAATTAGCTTTCTGTTTCTTCATGGAAGACACAGGTTTTACAATTTATTCACATACTCTATGTTTTTTCTTATCTTTAGCTTCAAAACTATCGATAAGTTTTTCATAATTTTGAGACTTTAATTTCTAGGGACCTGCTAAATAAAGATTTATATCCTTTAAAGCAGGTTCCAAGGTTGATTCACTAATTGGTGTCTCAATCCTTGAGCTTTTAATCCATTTGTCTTAATTTATTATTTTATTATTTTGTGGTTTTAAAAACATGATATTTTCAAGGTACAAGATGTAACAATTGCTAGAAAACAATACAAGCTGAAGGATACTTTAGTTGAATTAGATGTGAACAAAGAGGAAAAATTGTTTTTAGATGATACTGTTTTGGAGTTTAACAGATCCTTCATCAAAGCAAGGAAAAACTTTAACAACAAGAAAAAGACAAATGGTTTTAACGAGGTTCTTAGAGCTATGGATTTAAAATTAACTGGAACAAATTGATGTTGAAAATAAAAATATATATATATATATATATATATATATTTATGATCATTTAACTTCCTCGAGTTTTTTGTGTAAATTCATAAATAAATTTCCGATGTTTATTACAACTAGGTAAAACTGAAACGGTACTACTAAGATTTTGGTAACTTTTGTCTAATCCATTTATTTGATAATGTTCCAATAAACACCAGATGACAAATATCATCCACGATGGCATTGTGTCTCGAACACTGGGTGTATTTTAATCATGCGGAAATTATGGGAGGTGTTTTGGAGCACGCTTTTAAAATTTCAAACCAAACTAAAAATAGATCCCGCTTGTGGGAGTGACACGTCAAATTTGCCATCACATATCATAATCAAAAAAAATGACAACTCCCCCTGACGACAAATCCTGCAAAGCCGAGAGTAGTGCCAAAGCGAGTCGCGGCTCTGGTAGTGTTGGGATCAATTCCCTTCCTGACGAAAATTTGTTGGATATATTTTCCTTTCTCTCGACTAAAGAGCACTTTTCTCAATGCGCGTATGTGTGCAGTAATTGGAACCAAGTAACGAGAGGGAGACTCGCTCTCCACCCCTCTTTTACTTTATTCGAAAAATGGACAGACTTTATAGAGCGGTCCAATTTGGAAATGGATAAGGTGCTTTCTCTAACAATCGATGGAGTCGAACTTATTGAAGAGCAATGTGGTACCATTTCCACCAAATTGGTCAATCTCACACAACTCGATTTGTGTCGTAACAAAATTAAACCCACCGTGGTGAAGGGCCTCTCTTCATTGACCAATCTCAAAAAACTCAATTTGGGACACAATGAAATCGGAAATGATGGAGCAAAACATGTTTCCTCATTGACCCATCTCACAGCACTCGATTTGTTCGACAATGGAATTGGGCCCAATGGAGCACAGCGCCTCTCCTCATTGACCAATCTCACCCAACTCAATTTGGGCAACAATGAAATCGGTGATGCTGGTGCTGAACACATTTCCTCATTGACCAATCTCACTCAACTCAATTTGAGAATCACTAAATTGGGGGCTAACGGAGTGAAAAGCCTCCGTGGATTGAAGAAGCTCACAGAACTCGATTTGAGTGGCAATCAAATTGGGTATGAGGGTGTAAACAACCTCTCCGAATTGAAGAATCTCAAAAAACTCAATTTGGGCAATAATCGAATCACGGGTGATGGAGCTGAAAGACTCTGTGGGTTGGAGAATCTTACTGAACTCGATCTAAGTATTAATCAAATGGTAAAGGAGCAGAACACCTCTCTCAATTGAAGAACCTCACTCAAATCAATTTATGTCTCAATCAAATTGGACCCAACGGAGCGGAAAGACTCTGTGAATTGACCAATCTCACCCAACTCAATTTGAGGAGTAATCTAATTGGAGCTATTAAAGCAGAAAGCCTCTGTAAATTGGAGAATCTCACTCAACTCGATTTGGGTTACAATCGAATCGAGGATGATGGAGCACAACGCCTATCTAAATTGAAGAAACTCACTCAACTCGATTTGAGTGGCAATCAAATTGGGTCTATTGGAGCACAAAGCCTCTCTGAATTGACCAATCTCACTCATCTCGATTTGAATGGCAATGGAATCGAGGATGGAGCACAACATCTATCTAAATTGAAGAAACTCACTCGCCTCGGTTTGAATGACAACAGAATTGGAGATGATGGAGCGAAATACCTCTCTGAATTGAATAAGCTGACACACCTCAGTTTAGATAATAATGGAATCGGAGATACAGGGGCAGAATGCCTCTCTAAACTGAAGAATATCACATATCTCAGTTTAGATGATAATGAAATCGAAACCGCTGGAAAAAAACACCTCCGTAAATTGATTCGATGCGGTTTGTGTAGCATCAGGACCGAGGATGACACAGAGGAGGGTGACACAGAGGAGTATGACACAGAGGAGTATGATACAGAGGAGGTTGTTATCCCGACGCGTGTTATCGATGACGATGTCAAGAGTGACGATAGAGAGAGTGATGATAGTGAGGATGGTTATCTGCATTAGTGTTGGATCGGTAGGTATTTGCTCGGTTGTTGACATTTTCATGAATGCGCTATGGAATTGTATAGATCGACACTATTGAATAATGCAACTTGTTTGAGAGAATTTCCATGGTGGAATAGAGCCACATTCGTTCCAGCAGTACAATAAATGAGCCATCACATATCACAATCAAAAAAAATGACAACTCCTACTGATGACGACGAATATGGCAAATTTGAGGGTAGTGTCGGTATCAATCATCAACAGGGATGTATTTTCCTTCCTCTCGACTGGAGAGCACTTTTCTCAATGCGCGTATGTGTGCAGTAATTCCATTGAGAAATTAACATTTGTTGAATAAAATATTATCGTTACAGATTCTTTTCAAATGGAGTTGAGTTTACTTGCCAAATCAAAATTGAAAGATGAAATACTTTAAATTTTAAAAAAAAACAATTTTAATTTCCCCAAATCTTGTCAAACTTGAAGTAAACGTGCTGTAAGGTAGTTTTGAAATCTGACTTCAAATTATGAATCCTCGCATTAACACACCCCTTGGGGTGGCAGCATTCTCAAAAATATGTAGAAATGAGTAAGAACGAGTGGTTAGGTGTTGTTCTATTGAAATGCTTATTTTGGATTTGACAGCAGAAGAACAACAAAATTTTTTCTAAATAATTTATTTTCTTTCAAAAAACGCGTCAAATTTGAAGTAAACGTGCTGTATTATTTGTCTATGTTGATGATATTTGTATTAATTGATATGATTCAATAATATTCCGAAGCTTTACATCACTGTACAAGTAGCCACGTAACAAAATTGCGTCCCAACAAATTCATTTTTTATATTTGCAACGGCTAGCGATGGCGGTACGCAACTAGTAAGAACTAACCACGAAAAGCTTGATACCAATCGGCAGCAAACTGCTGCTCCTGTGGAGAACCCTGATTGGAACCAAGTAACGAGAGGGAGACTCGCTCTCCACTCCTCTTTTACTTTATTCGAAAAATGGTGGTACTTTCTGGAGTGTCCCCATTTGGACATGGGGATGGTCCATTCTCTGGCTGTTCTTATCGAAGTTTACTGAGATAAAGTAGTGTTTCTTGAAAACAACAATTGAATAAACTAATAATAGAAAGTATGCTCAAAAAAATCGTCATACTATGGTCGCTAAGAAGCCTCAAGATATTGACTCCTCTTCATCTGATGAAGATCTCCCAGCAGTTGAAGTAGAATACCCCACAACACCAGTGAAAGCAAGAAAACAACAAGCTGCTAAGAAGCTTAGAAAGTTAAAGGCCATGTCACCTGTAGCTAATAGAAATAAGCGCAAACAATCTACTTCAGTTTCATCATCTAACAGTGCCTTATATGATGGTATTTCAACTGTTGTTTCCAGTTCGTTGCTAAGCAATTCAACATTGTTGGATAGTTCTTCAACTGCACCCTCTTCGTCAAACAATTCGTCTTCTTCCAATTCAGGTAGAGATAGTTTTACCAGTAGTTCATCTGAACATGATATCATGGCGATCAAAGCCCAAATGCAAGAAATGATTGGAGTTTTGAGAACCGTAACAGGAAATATCTCTGAACTTACTAAGAAAGTTCAGGAGAGAGAAGAAGAATCAGATGATGATTTTGTTAATCCAGAAGCTATATCTCCAGAAGTTTGGTTACGTCAAACTTATAGAGACCTTAGAAGTTCTTACAATGTTCCTTCATCTATTGGAGATGATTTATTACTTTCTGCAGTATCCTCCGAGATACTTAAAGACCGTAAACAAGAGGAGACCAAGAGAAGAATTCAATATTTGCTCCTTAAATACAAGGATGTGATTTCCAAGTTTGCCCCAGACATTAGATTGGATGAGATTAACAGTATTGGTTATTCTAAACTAGTAGAGTTAACTCAAATCAAAATTGAATTGTTGGAATATGCATTGAATTCTCCACTTGATTTTACAGTCATGACAGAGATTACAGAACTTTGTAGAATGATTTGCAAAGTTGAAGCCCTCTTCCTTAAAGAAGGTTTACAAGTTTCCACTTTCGATGTTGGTAGAGAATTCCTTAACAGATACATTTCTACTAATAGTTTCGAAACTGCTGCCGAAAGTGAACTTCATAATATTAGAACAACATATCATTACTACAAAGCAACCAAGCAGCAACAAGGTCCAAAGGGAATTACCAAGAAGTATTCTAAGAAGAAACCGTTTCAAAAGAAAAACAATAAGGGTCAAGGAAACGGTGGTAAATTCCAAGGAAAAGATAAGGATAAGTCAGAATGACTCTTCCACTCCCTCCTTCCAAGGAGGAAGATTACAACAGTTTTGGAAAAAGTGGCAAATCTTCCCCAAAACTGTTGCAGAATGGATAAGAGAGGGTATTCCAATCCATTCAGAAAAAGAAAAATGGATCGATATTCCACTAAGATCTCATTTTTCAGAAAAGGAAGATTCATGGTTAAAGAGCGAAATCTCAGATTTACTCAAAACCAATATTATAGAAATTGGAAACAAGGACACTGTCATAAATCCGATTCACGTGGTTCCGAAGAAAGGCAAAGACCAGTTTCGTCTAATCCTAGATTTGAGATCCATAAATGCTGGTATAAACAACGACTCATTCAAAATGGATCATATTCACAAAACTCAAAGTTTCTATCAAAAGACATGTTAGGAATCAAAATAGATTTGATGAAAGGTTATCATCACGTTCCAGTGAAGGAAACAGATCGAAAGTTATTGGGATTCAGGTACAACGGCCAGATTTACCATTACAAGTGCCTACCATTCGGTCTGAACATTGCTCCAAGATTATTCTCCAAGATAATGAAGGTCTTAGTTCAAAGATGGAGAGTAAGAGGAATCTCGGTATTCATTTATTTAGACGATATCTTAGTGGTAAATCATTCAAAAGATCAGTTGATCTTAGACAGAGATATAGTTCTAAAGGATTTAGAAGAGTTTGGATTCCTCATTCAAAAAGACAAATGTTGTTTAAATCCAACTCAATTAATAGAATACCTAGGAGTTTTGTTAGACTTTCATCAAGGTTTGGTAAAAATTCCAGAAGACAAAAGGATTACAGCTTTAGAATTCATAGAGGAGCTACTCAATGCTTCCCAGAAACGGCTTTATGTTCCATGCAAGAGAGTTGCCAAGTTCCTAGGAAAGTTGGAATTTCTAACAATTGCCAACAAGTACCTTTCACCATTCATGTGTCGTCTTCGAAAGAACATGGTTTCAGTAGTATCAGGAAGAGGTTGGCACGCATCAATGCAAATTCACAAAGGCGCATTCAAGGATTTATTGATTCTAAGGGAGTTAATTCAAAAGAACGATGGTCATCCGTTCGAATTGGATTGGATTCTCCCAGTGATTGTGAATTCAGATGCAACACCTCAAGGTTTCGGCATTCACTCAGGTTCAATCGTTACTGTTGGAAAGTTCAATGGAGAAGAGCACATCAATGTCAAGGAACTAAGAGCCTTACTGCTTTATTTCAAACAAGCAGACGAATTAAATCTTTATCCAGATTTCACAAATTTCGAATTGAGAGTAGACAACATGGTAGCCGTGGCATATCTAAAGAAGGGTTATGGATCAAAAGACGATCTCGCAAAGATAGCAAGAGACATCTCAAAGATTCTAATGAGAAGAAATTGGTGGATTTGCAAAGTGATTTACATCCCATCCAAACAGAATTTCCTAGCAGACAGGTTGAGTCGATTGATGGATTGGGGATCCACCAAGGAACTAATCGAATTAGTCAACCAAGAATTTGGAATACACCATGTGGACAGATTTGCAACAACGAGTTCGGCAACTACCCTTGTATTCAATTCATGGAAAGAGAACGACGCGTTCAAAAGTCTTTGGGAAAAAGAACTAGTGAGTTATTGTGTTCCTCCAATAGGATTGATCAGTCAAGCTCTCATTCATCTTATCAAATCCAGATCAATAGCGACATTTGTAATTCCAGAATGGAGCTCCTCGATTTGGTGGCCTCTACTCTTAAAGCTATTAAAGAAGAGAAAAAGTATCACAAGAAGGATGCTTTTAATCAAACTATTATCCGAATTATGGATCAAATTCGAAGGAACGACGTTCATAATTGCTCATCTGGATGGAAACTTATACTTCAAACCAGAGATTTAGGGATGTTGGTTTCGATTAAGGAAGAAACCTTCAAACTTTACACTAGAAACTATAATGGTTTCTTATGGTTTATTACTGCATTCAATATTTCAATGGATGACCCTTATGCTATTGAGTATTATGCAGCTTATCTTACAATTCAAGGTCAAACATCTCGTGTTGAAGCCTTGAGACCATCCCTTCAATTTTGGGCCAATATTGAGAGAAGAGTTTTTCCAATTTCATGGTCTTATGATAAGATTAAAAGAGGAATTACTCTTATTTGGTCCTTGATTGATAGAAAAGCTTTGAAACGTGATCCAATTTTCTATCATCATATTGAAGGTTTCATTCAGAGAAAAGATCATTATGATCCTTTCATTTTCAAACTCACTAGTGCCATGTTAGTCATTGGTTTCAGACTTTTCGCTAGACCAGGTGAATTAGCTAGACTCAAGTGGGGTTATGTTACAAAGCTTAGAAATGGTAACATCAAATTAGATCTCAGTGGTCACAAAACAGATTTCTTTCTACTAGAAAAGCCGATTACTATTGACAAGCATCTTGAAAATCCTTCAGTGTGTCCAGTGAAATTGCTTTTTGATTACATGAACACTGTACAGCATTTCAAAAAAGCAGATTCACCATTGTTTTCATTGCAGGACAATATTTTCTTCAACACTGAAGATGTTTCTCAACTTATCAAGAATGCTATGTTCTCTGTTGATTCAGAAATCACTGTTTCTGGTCACAGTTTACGTATTGGTGCAACTACTGAGAGTATTATCAAGGGAATTCCTACTCAGGATATTATTATGGGGACTAGACATAAGGATGTGAAATCTTTACAACCTTATCAAAGACAAGAAGCTCTTGCAGCTCGCCACTTGTCTACTACTCTCCTTTCTCGGGACAATATCCATTAGTTTATTTATTGTTGGTTTTCTTTTAAGAAACATGTTCTTATCGAAGTTTACTGAGATAAAGTAGTGTTTCTTGAAAACAACAATTGAATAAACTAATAATAGAAAGTATGCTCAAAAAAATTGTCATACTATGGTCCCACCCTTGCCCACCCTCTATTATTATTAGTTTATTCAAATCAAAGGTTCTAACCTTTGTCCTTAATACTTTGGAATGTGATTTTTTAACCAATCCTCAAATATTTTCTCAATTGATTGAAAGATTTCACTCTATTTGTATTATTGAAAGATGATTGTTATCATCTTTTTATCTTTGTATTATTATTTGATATTTGACATCATTTATTGATGTTTTTTATCATGATTGGTGATCTAAAACCAATTGTTGGTGATCTAAAACCGACAGATCAACTTTATGTTGATTAGAAGGTATCTGATACCTTTCCCTTACTATTAGTAAGGCAATATGTACTGAACATACCTCTTTTCTCATTCTCGTTTTGATTCGTAAGTGTCAAGACGGTTGAGTAGGTTTTTTAATTCTTAACTTTTTAGTTTTTACCGATTTTTTTTTTTTTTCCTACAAGAGTAGGTTTTTTTATATGGGAGTTGTTTCTCCAAAAAACAACTTGGTTTATTGTCAGATTGCTTTAATTTAGTTTAGTTTTTGCTTTTTGTTAAGAAATCATAGTATGATTGTATTGATTAGTTTATTTAATTTCTGGACCTGCTGAATAAAGCTTAATGCCTAAAAACAGCAGTAACCAGGCTACAAACTACCTAAGAATAGGTAGAAGTTGTAGTGTGAGCTTTATATCCATTAGTTTATTTATTGTTGGTTTTCTTTTAAGAAACATATCAACTGATGGGTAAAAACCACAAACAAACCAACTAGCTGTGACCTTTCAAAAAAAATGCAAAGACCAAACATTTCACAGGATTTAGAGTCTCACATTTCCAGCAGCACATCAACAGCTTCATTTTCCAACTTACCTTACGTTAATTCAGAGAAACATCTAATCAAGTCAAATGTCA